TAAGAAGACGTCTCCATGATTATGGTGCCTTTCAAATCCATTGCTGCATCTTCACAAGGGCGTTCTTCTTGAACTGAGCCTTCTTCCGCTTTATTCCCGATCCGATCTTCTTCCCCACTTCGTTTAGTTCCTTCAATGTCTCTGCTTCAGTGATACTGCTTGAGAAGAGTAATTGCAATAAGAACACATATACGAGATTTGTTGAAATATCACGGACATGTTACAAGAAATTTCGATATGATAGAAGGTAAAAAAACTGAAATTTAGTATGAATAGAGTTTTCAATTTCAGAATACAAAGAGCATTAACAAAAAGGAAATCGATTAGTAATCTCGAGTGCAGAAAAAGTTATCAAAAACTATACAAGCATATTTAAACTCAGTGACGACCTAATGGAAGACATCGAATATCTGAAGAGAAAGTTCTGCAAATGCTAAAACTCCTTCTCTACAGGGAAACCAAAGGCAATCAATTTGTCCGTAAGATAAAACAGATTACAAATCCGAGAATATGTGTTGAATTTCATGTCAGTATCATGATAAAAGAACTGAATATCAGTTTAGACGGAAACATGATTATCGATCAAATCTCAACTCACAACTTAAAAAAATGGAAGTGAAATAAGTGATACGTCGACGTAGAACGGCGCGTTTCACTGCGGACTCGATAAATCGATGATCTACCCTCGCAACTCTAACGTTGTTGCGTCTGCAAATCCGCAACCTTCGCCCCGTCCACTCCGGGGAAACGGCGATAGTACTCATCATCAGGCTTGAGCAAGAGGTCAGGCAGAAGTCCTTCAAAAACGACCCCCCCCCCTTTGAAAACCCCCACGACCCTCCGCTTCGCCTCCAAGTCCTTAGGGTGTTATATTTTGAAGAAGACAACCTTAACTGCAAGTTTCTATTTCTTGAAAGTCTGTAGGCCCGACTTTCTGCGATTGCACAGCCACACGCAACTTGACGGCAAGTTTTAGATCAGGATAATCCTCTTTTCAAGGCTATAATTTTCACAGGGGTGGAGTGTTTGGTTTCAATTTTTCAATATAGCAAGAAGAGGCTTGGCGCTCAATACTCACGTCAAAAAAGGGGCGATTTTTGAATGTTGAAGGCAAGTTAAGAGGGTCAGGCGCAACCCCTCAAAAGTTCCGAAGAAGCTTTTCTACCCAAGTTTTATGTGATTCGCTAGCTCAATCCTCGAAGATTCCACAGTAAGTGTTTGAACTTGATTCGACTTGTTTCGGCCTTGTGCTAATCCGAGAAGTTGAAGCACTCAACGTGGAAAACGCGCCGGTTGGAATTTTGGCAGCACTACTTACTTCACTATTTGAAAGCGATATGAGGTCCGATTTTGTAGCATAGACTTGTAGAGAACATTACTTTGTTATGAGTATACAAAAGCTGACTTTTCTCACTTCTGAAACCAAGTTGATCACTTTTGAAAATCACGCTTTTTAGGCGTTGAGAAACACTAGAAACTGCAGTAGGTAATGGTTCTATGGTAGAGCGCACAGAGGTAATTTGACATGCTGATTATGGAAATGATACCCATTTCACACAGCAAGCTTCCTTGTTTACCACATATGTCAAGGTAAAAGAGAAGAAGATTTGAATTTTGGCTGAAACTTCCATTCCAAACTTCCAACAGTATGCAGTTTATGACCGTCATTCCTTCATGTGATCGCGATATCCACCGGACTAGCGCATTTCTTCTTCACCTTCACAGTAACTTCTCAACTTAATAAATTCGATTCTTAGTTACGACCCCCCCCCCTCAGTCTTACCCTCAATACGATCCCCCAGGTCGGGCGCGCCTGACCCCACGCTCAACCCTACTCATCATCCACCTCTGCAGAATATCAATAGTGCACCGCTAATAACCTGTTACACATGGGAATCGCGTAAAATTCGCTTATTACAGGTACCGCTAACAGCATGAGCCGCTAGCCATGATCTCTTCTTGAAACAAAAGTAATCAAATGAGTTTTTGGCAAAAAAATCAGGTCATTGAAGCACATTTACTTGCACGTTTGATGGGATTTCATTTGAGCGGTAGAGAGAGGGGGAGATAAAATTACTAGAAAGAGGCCCTACTCGTATACCCACCATAATCCAAGGTAAAAGTGCTACCTTACGACCATCTTATTAGAGCACCGGCGAAGTTGACTTCCTACCGTACATTAATACGACTCCTTGAAAAAGCCTCACAAAAAGTATGAATTTCGGATTAGCATGCCGGATTCATCTTTGGACCAAAAACCAAATTATGATGTTTACTCCAGGGAGGCGTTTCCGTATAGAAAAACGTGATAGTCGAGCTCCTTGGAGCAAGTTTGAGAATTGCAGGACAAAAAACATTTGGGGTCTGGATGCCGAATAGCGCCGCAAAGCTTTTAGTATTTCACTTCTTGGAACTGCTTTACTAAAGGATAAAAGAGTAAGTTGCAAATTTATATCGAGACAACACTGTTTTTACTTTCAAACTAGGGTAGAATATGAGGGGGAAAAGCCGCGGTGTGAAAGTCTCATTTTTCTGAAAAAAGGAAAAAACTCGTGCTTATATACTATTACGATGTAATTCTATCCCCTGCACCAAGTCTACAAAAAGGGGGAAGATGTTACCTTTTGTGAACTATAGTAATGAATGCATACCATAATTTGACAGCTCATGAGACCAAGGTGTCAAAAAAAGATAAAGTATAAAATGTGATAGTTACGAAATGTTAGTACAATGAAGAGTTGCGTAAAACATACAAGGCTAATAAAATAATCATCAGGAACGTCTGTAGGGCTGAGAATTTGCGCCGCTATCGGCGTTATTGATACTAAATTTGATCTACCTGATCACCGCTGCAGATTACAAAGGCGATATAGCTTTCGTATGTCATCGAAATGAAAGAATTACAGTAGGAGGGGCATTTGTAGCAATGCAAAGTAGTTATGAGGTTTCCTTTTTGTCGTTTTGGTCCCGAAGTTCAACGAAGATTTTAACACAGCGCAATATTTATTCTCCTAGCCGGCATTATGAAGTTGGATGCAAAATGTGTAATCACACACCGTGATATTAATGATCGATGTCAAGCATTTTTGCATTGATATAGAAAATCAGCACTTGATGTTACGCCTTTAAAGAATACGATAAAAAAGTAAGAATTCTGAAATGTCATGATTAGACGGAAAAAATTCATATTCTCATCAGGCACGACCTAATATCATATTTTTGCAAATTCCAAATCATCATATCTAATGAAAATATGGGAATGCAGATTAATCACTAATTTTCCCTGGTATCGCTCAATTTTGACAAATACATAGACGACCACAACGTAGAATTGAGCGCAATATTGTGCAATTACACAACTTTCCATAGTGACGCTCGAGTATCGTGAGCTGGTACGTGTACTGTGCACTATGCACCAAACGATTGGATACTTGCAGAAATTTCTCTTCGTTTGGTCCTGTTTTTGATCATAAATACTGGAAACATGCATGACTCATGTTTTTTCAGAATTTTGTTTAATCAAGACGGTGTTAGTATCATCTATTCTATGACTAGGAGACACGAGACCGCATTGCGGACATTGTTAACAGGTTTGAGTTTGTTCTTACCCGTTTCCAAAAAGTGTCTAAAACTTGGACGAAAATAACAAAAGTAAACCTGCTAAGTACAGGATTAGGCTTTAGACAATGTGTGCAACGCGGTCTCGCGTCTCCTAATAATAGAATGAATGTTGACTGTATACAGACAAAATGCCATGATATAGCGTTAATTGTGCAAATTCAAATGACTTGACCCCGGATAACCTGAAAACACCAGATGTGCCTTTCATGCAACGTTTGGCTTCTGATCTTCTTCCACTGGAAAAAAACAAGAAATTCCAAATCTACAACTATTGTGAATATTCTTTGCAGGAAGAACTGATGCTACTGGGTAACGGCCGAAGCATGTGTGGCTCAATTCATCGACATGTGCGGTCAGTTGTTTGTACTGTTCTTGAGTGGTTACGAACTGGCAAGAAGGGGAGAGAGGGGGGGGGGGAGGAGGGGAGTTGTTAATTACCGGTTTCTTAGAGATCAACAAGCTAGCAGCGACCTATGGGCTGCATTCTGCAAGTGGACATTGTTCACTTGTCGAGAAAGGCAAGTAGGCAACTGAGTATGAAGGGGAACCTGTGGGGAAGGCTCAGTAACTTTTAACTGGCTTTATCTTTTTTGTAAATAAATTTCTAAAACTTTTCAGGAATTTTTCTAAATTAGTAAGACCTTTTAGACTGATTACCGAAAAAATGTAAAATTACAAGAGGAAATCGAGCGAAAATTTGTCAAGATGAAATTAAATGATGAAACGGACATTTCCATGTTTCTCCGGAGTCCAACATGGAAATCTTTCTCCTCACCATAAATCCGTTATTGCATTGCATTCAATTGTGGAGCAGTGGAGGGCTGTGAAGGATTAGCGATTTGCAATCCAGAAAGTCAAACATTTAAAATCATTTTTGAGCTTTTTGGCGTGAACTTCACGAGACAGAAAAGAAGATGCAAGATTTTTGCGCTCAAAAGGGGCCATCAAAGTTGTACAAACAGATATGAGGAAGTTTAAATATTCAAAAAATTCAGATTTTTGGCTCATTTTTCTCGTAAAAAAACAATTGACGCCAGCTGAATTACAATCATCCTCTCAGTTCATATGATGTAAAGTTTTGTAGACTCAAGCTGATTACTTCTACGATGGTGACAACACTTGCACATAGAAAATGGCGTCTATATTCACATTTTCAAATTCTGTGCTTCGCAATTTTTTTACGCGCAAACGTTGGCAGCAGCGCTGGAAAACGAATTAACCCTAAAATACAAATACCTTATGTGACTATGTGTATGTATTGGATCTGACATAAATTTACAGCGTATCTTTTCACATTGCAGATGACATGGTAATCGACGGCAATATTTCCATCGACGAATGGTGCCACCACTGTTTCTCGTTTGCTGGTGATATACGTCATGAGCCTCCTTGCCGCAACAAACATTCAGTGGATCCTCACATGGCTGTAAGTTATTTCAAAAAAATTAAGAAAATCAAAAAAGTGGAGGTAGAACACGGGCGATCCTGAAATTTTTGCCGTTTCAGCGGTTGTTCTACGCATTGTGCAATTGCACGAAGCACACAAAATCCACAAAGCGAAGACATGATTACATAAATGCGCGCAGAACTTTTGATCTTTCTCCTTTTTTATCATGATGCAATCAAGAAAAATACTGGAAGAAATTTATTAAGCAAGAAAAGGCAATAAATTTTCAGAAAAATTACAAAAAAGCAAAAAAAAACATTCTGAGTCCATTCATTCTTTAGTATGGTACCATTTTAGTGTTCAGAACGTCGAAAACCTCTTAGACCAATACATCTATGATCTCAACAATCTGGCAATGCATGTTTCGCCACATGTAATAGTTTAAAGGGACGAATTCGAAACGCACAAGCTTAATACAGTGCTGGACATAATTATACAGCCACTCTAGAAATCGTCGTAATTTTTGTTCTTGTCAATGAATCTGTCTGAAACTTTGCTGTATTGTGCGCGTGTCAACCTACCATAACCCCTCAAAACGGCTTCCAGTCTTGTTGAGTTTGAACGGAGAAAAACGAAAAAAATCGAAAAAGCCCTCTTTGAAAGCTGGACAAAATTATACAGCCACCTGGTTTTTCTAATCACTATCGCATTCGTTGACTCTCAATTTTTTGTACAATTACATCCCAAAATATGAAACATTTGCGACACTTACGGCCTGTCTTCCTACTCAAATAGAAGCAATCGCTGCATTTCTTGCTTTTAAAAGCATTAAAAGTCAATCTCCTTCAACAAACAACTGCTTTAAAGAGTTTTCAAGCTCTTGTTCATTCCAAATGATAATCATGGAATCTACTGACCCTTTTGGATAGATGAGGTTAAGAGCGCTTTCGTAAACTCTGCGTAATCGCTGATTTTGACGGACAGACTCCAACCTCAACATAGGCTTGGAACGCTTTTAAACCACAAAACTCAGTTTGCAATGTCCACAAAGTGCTGAACTTGATTTATCACATTGTCTACATGGGGATACAGCTTTCGCAACAACTTTCAGATTTTTCCTAATGATGCGGTAGCGATTTAGACCTGGAATACTTTCCACAAAAATTCCCTGCGAGCGGAAGATTCGATGTAACCCTAGATCTCCTTATTTCCGTCTGTGTTTCATGTCATATTTCACCCGATGAATGAGATTAGGTAAGATTTTGAAGTTTTAAGCGTCTCCGGTTTTATCTCGTGATCTGAGTTGGCTTTGATTGTACAGGGTGCTCCACTCAACATTCAGTGAATGCCAACTGCGGCTGAATCAGAGTGCTCAGTCCCGAAATTTCTTCCCAGTCATGCACACGAGTTCACCGTTGTATGGCTGTCGTAATGGCTACATTACAGTATTTTTTGTCGCTTGAAAATCGAGTTTTGTGGTTTAAAAGCGTTCCAAGCCTATGTTGATGTTGGAGTCTGTCCGTCAAAATCAGCGATTACGCAGAGTTTACGAAAGCGCTCCTCACCTCATCTATTCAAAAGGGTCAGTAGATTCCATGATTATCATTTGGAAAGAACAAGAGCTTGAAAACTCTTTAAAGCAGTTGTTTGTTGAAGGAGATTGACTTTTAATGCTTTTAAAAGCAAGAAATGCAGCGATTGCTTCTATTTGAGTAGGAAAACAGGCCGTAAGTGTCGCAAATGTTTCATATTTTGGGATGTAATTGTACAAAAAAATTTGAGAGTCAACGAATGCGATAGTGATTAGAAAAACCAGGTGGCTGTATAATTTTGTCCAGCTTTCAAAGAGGGCTTTTTCGATTTTTTTCGTTTTTCTCCGTTCAAACTCAACAAGACTGGAAGCCGTTTTGAGGGGTTATGGTAGGTTGACATGCGCACAATACAGCAAAGTTTCAGACAGATTCATTGACAAGAACAAAAACTACGACGATTTCTAGAGTGGCTGTATAATTATGTCCAGCACTGTATCTGCTCCATGGCGAAGGCGGTCGCCCAAATAGGTTGAAAGCACACAAAGCTAACGCGCACGCGGCGCGCGGGCAATTGTCAACCACGGGTCGCGCGTACGCTCCCGTGAGCGACCGCTGACCGAGCGTGCGCGCGCCCTGTGGTTGACAATTGCGCGCGCGCTGCAGCCTCGCATGCTTTCAGCCTATTTGGGCGACCGCCTTCGTCTTGGAGCAGTTATTACCCTGACCGGCAACGCGGCAGCGACGCGCAGTTTTCTCCACCGAGCGCGACAGCGATCACGAACTTCGCTTTTTTACGTTCTTTGAAGTATCAGACGCCGATCTTTTTATGCTTGGCTGTTTCGAATTCGTCCCGACTTTCAAGCGCACGATTATCGGAGCATGTATCAAAGACGAAATTGGAACGCTTAGTTTTTGTGACTTCTTTGCATGCACCATTTGCGCTTAGCTTACCGGTGATGTTCCACAATAAAGTGGAATATCAGTATCAAGTAGATGTAAGGGTGGTGGGTGGCAAGGGCGGAAAGAAAATGAAACCGCTTACAAGAGTTTTACGTGCTGATTGTTTATCGACAAAGTATCCTTTTCAGCCTCAATTTATAGACTAGTTGTTAAAGGTCGTCCGCGCTGTGCTCGGAGAGTAACGCTGTTGCGTCCAATCGAGGCAGTCTATGACCTGGAGGAGGCACAGAGAAAACAGACGGCGAGAGTGCATGAAGGAAGAGGAGTGACGCGCAGTACACACCTTGCGCACTCTCCGCGCCCTGCGCGGACGGCCCATAACATTACCAAAAAGCGAAAAGAAAATCCATAGATAGCGTTATTGATGAAGTGACGGCTTCTTTGCAAACTTGTTGCCAATTCTGGTCTCACCTGTTTGTAGGGGTAGAAAGCAGAAAAGTTCGAATTGGTTTTTGGGTGTAGTTTTCACCAAAAGCTGGAATTCGTAAGAAACCAATTGTGGCTCTACACTTACAAATATAATTAATTAACCTTAAAGTAATTTGTACAAAATTACTTTGAGGTTTAAAACTACAGTAAGAATCTTTATGACAAAGTCAGATCAGCTAGTGGGGTGTGAAGTTCCTGAATTGCCGCTCATTATTCGTGAAAAAATAATCGCGGCGGCTGTGTTTGGACGGCCTCAGCCGAAGTTCACTGAGATTTCGCATCAGATCTATGTTCAGAGTGGACTAGTTCTGAAAGTTACCATTCAGCTACTTCGACATGGCACGCCTTTGATATCTACATAACTGCTTTAGCTTCGGTACAGTAGCTAGTGGAAGATAGTTATCAAATTTCTTTTTTAGTTTTTGCTTACATAGGCTGCTCATTGTGACGATTACAAATTATTTGAGCTAGAGGGCATTGCGAGACGCGGTGGGGGTAGATTTGCAAAGAAACGACCACTATAGATATCTCACCTTTCTCTTTTCAGCAATTATGTTCTCGATTTGGTTGCTCCTCGAAGTCACTCACCAAGTCTCAACCGGACATTTTCACCATATACAACTTTGATTATAATTCTCATTCTTATTAGGATCAACATAATTTGCTGACCGGCGGATAGAGGAAGCATTTCGCAATTCAGTGTCTTTTTTCAGTCTGCGCGGCCTTTTGAAATCAATAAAGGTAACATTTTCTCGTGACCAACTCCGTTAGAGGGAATTTGAGCCTCAGATCAACGATGCTTCCCACTGCGTGATATTTCGGAGAAATTTCAGACGGTGAAGAAAACTTCTTGGAGATTCGCGGGCGAAATGCAAAACCATCCATGTGCGCATGGCTGTACCAGAAAATTTTAGACATCAACATTACAAAGCTTTGATTGCTCTACTTTGTGAGAATAGTGCTTGCTGCTGATCGAGTTCGGAAAGCCTTGTCGAAAGCGAATTCGGAACACAAGCGTAGAAAGATCGGCGTCTGAAACTTCAAAAAACGTAAAAAAAATAATTCGTGCTCGCTGTCGCGCTCGGCGAGGAAAACTGCGCGTCGATGCCGCGTTGCCGATCAGGTTACGCTGGGAAGAGTCCCGCGCGGATTCCCTGCAGGAACGCATGTCCGCGCATGTACAAGGGTGCGTATTTGTCGCAAATAACCGCGGGGACCGCCCTTTTTCGGCGACCTAATGTCCTCCACCCGCTTACGCTTGTGCGTTTCGAATTCGTTGTTTAAAGGACACCGTATGTATCAATGCTTTGGCTTACACCGTTTTTGGCTCAAAAAAAGAGGAGAAGCAGTGATTTGATTCGCTCTCTTCGCTATATGATAGGTTTTGGAGCGTTCTCTTGGTCCAAATCAAAGAGGTCCAAAACTTATGTGAACTCTCCGGTATTTATGTTCCGAACCAACCCAGTCGGTTTCGTGTTGGTCTAGAAACCAGCAAATCTGGAAACGGGTATTAGGACACATAAGTTCTTGGAACTTTTTACATAATGTTGTTCGGAATAATATTGTATATACATAGCCCAAATTTGGCGTCATGTAATTGTTTGTGCGCTGTAAATAAACAAGCCATCTGTTCGTTTGGGTCTTACGTTTGATTTTCAGTGCTTCGCCCAGGATCTTATAAAAACAATATTCCCGTTGCTTCTGACCTCAAAAACAAAGTCCAGTTTACCTCGAATCATCTCTGCCGGGCCCTGCTAGAGACGCACACTATTTTGTTTCCCTAATTCTTTTTTTTATGTTATCGACTGAGAGTGTGAGCGGTGCACCTCTCTACACCACAAATTGTTAAATATTATTACTTTGAAGACAGAATCAAAAAAGAAAACTTAAAAAGAAAATGAAAAAATCCTATTTCTCTATGTATAAAAATGAAACCAAATCTCATGATAATTTGCTGTTTCTCACGGCGTATAACTCAAAGATTATGGGCATTTGTTTTCGTACAGTGCATGAGTTCTAGGTGAGTTGAACTTTGTTTACGGGTTTACGGTCATCCCGGCAGTGTCGTGAATTTTACGAGGATTTAATCGCTTATTGGCGATTAACATGACAGTCGGGAGCGGCGCGATGAGAGATGAACTTACAACAACTCCGAACCAATCTCGAGAATTTTTCGGGTGTTCAGGTAGCAAAGGGAAAATCAGAGAGGAGAGGCTGGCGGGAGGAGGGAGAGCGAAGGAGGGGAAGGAGAGCGAAATAGTGGAACACTAAAGTAGATCCATGCATAAAGGTTCAGCCTCTAATTTATGAGTTATACATATCGAAAAACAGAATTTTCTTTTGCAAATTAACCTTTTAGCAGCTGCAAAAAAATTATTGCAAGTTTTGAAAAGTTTCCATTTCATTTAAAATGCACTACAGATCTATCAGCCATTTCAATCATAACATAATAGATATGGGGATCTATGGATGAACGTCTTTATGTAATTATCAAAATCACCTGCCAATTACCTGTAACAACGCCCAAATCCCCTTCGACGCAAAGTGTGTATAATCTTTAAAACATGACAGCATGAAAAGCGGTATGACGCACAATCAGCCAAAACTGATAGTTGCTCCAGGTGACGCACTCAAACCGCAAATTCTCTCTGAAGTTTCAAAAAAATTTCTTAGATAGGATTTCAATATATACAAAACTCAAATTTCAATTTTTACATAATTGGGTTACGTATCAGTTGCCACTAAAACTAATAACAAATGCTAACCTTTCTCGAAAAAAATTTTCCTAGCAATTTTGTTACAAATCAAACCCATCTACTTGTTCGCAATGGTTATAGAATTTGTTATTCGATAGATCAATCAATACTTAAGAAACACGAACTCGAAGACGAAAATATTTACAAGCCGGCTTTTCTGTCGGTTTGAAGTTCTTAAATATTATGTCCCTATGGGATGCAACAAGTTAGCTTCTCTGATTTTGAAAAATTTCTTAAAAATTTACAATGACGTTATACCTCATTTCAAGATTTCTATCATATTCTTTAGGCGCATTTCTCCCGCGCTGCGATCGCGAAAGTTTCTATCGACCCGAAAATGTCATAAGGGCTACTGCTGGTATGTGGATAGATACGGTCGTGAGTTCGATCGCTCTCGTACACAAGGAGAACTCCCAGACTGCGGACAGTACTGTAAGTTGTACAACGGAAACCTTCCCTTTGATGTAAAAAATCAAATTTTCAGCCAATAAGCTCGACCAGGACGGCAAGACCGGACCGACCTAGCATCGGCTATAATTCGTTACTTTTCTAGCATATACCGGACGTTTGTGAATGACGATCTGCTAGCTATAAACTGCTTAAGCACACTGCCCTTATTGAATCTTGAACTTTGTATTTTGCAACGATATAATAAAGCATTTTTCGGCATAAAAAAGCATTTGTTTCCGTAATTCACGAAGGTTTGACGAAGGAGTCATTGGCCAAAACCTATGATGTGGTTCAATGTGCCGAATGCGTCCCTTTCCGATCCCATTCCACAAAAAAAATCAGCTTAGCCCTAAAAAGAAGACAACCATCATTTGGAGAGATATTTTTCCGATTTTTAATAGGGATGCGTGAAAAAACTGCAATTATGACCTACTTTGCCACAGTGTGCAATATTTCGATTTGATTTTAAATCTTATGACAATTTTCAAAAACAGCTAATACGAAAATTCTTTATTTGCAACGTCCTAGAAGTTGATAAAAAAAGAATTACAACGATAGAATCATAACAGTGGTGTTGATCTGGAAAAAAACTAATTGTTGCCTTTGGTGGCAAGGGCTTTCGCCTTCGTAGCATCATCTGCTGGAATTACAACCAACTAATAAAATCGGTCTGTAAACTCTTCATGGGGCAGTACGTAATATTAATTATGGGTCTATAGGCGGCTCATAGGGCAGTTTTTTCTTGATATATCGTTCTGTAAGAAGATTATACTTTGGTTTTCTTTGAATCGTTTGTAGACTCCATAAGGAAAGTCTCATTTTGATTTGTAGGGGTTTAAAGGGTACTTCTGCTCAAAATGGTGTGGTAAGCGGCCCATGTGATACTTTTTTCCTGAAGACAACAAACAGCAAATACCGATAGATACGCAAATGAAGATCCGCTTGAGCCACAGAAGCAGGCTTCAACGGTGAAGGAGATAGACAGATGATTGATTGGCATCGGGGAATGCCACCGCCCTAAGTTTAAGCTCGAGGCGTCCGAGACTAGATTGGTTTACGTTAGGTATCCACCAACCTAACAATCTAGCCTCAGATACATCTGTAGTATGATCAAACAAAGCAGGAATCGAGTAGCACTTCTAAGGTAGAAACAAACATAATGAGTAGAAGTGTGATAGAGAGATCAGTAAAGAAGATAAACTTCAACAGGCAAAAGCAAACAAATACAATTGCAACTACATGGTGCAGTCGTAAGTAGAAAAAAATCACATTGCGCCATCAATGCCCAAAATCTAGACAATGTCTACATGTTTAACTCTAGCCAGTTTATTAAGCATTGCAGCAGTACGCCAGAAGAAATTATTGTGCTGAGCTGATGCGTGATACCTTCCGAATCTGGAAACAGGTTACTAGGACGGTTTTTCTCTGATGTCCTGTAGGTGGTCCTTGGACAATTCTTATGCATATCGCACTGTAGGCGGTGGTTGAGCAGCCTTTCTTCTGAAGAATGGTCTGCGGGCGGCACGTAGGATAATAAAATTAGAAAAAATATTTTCTTGCCAAAGTTCTTCGAGAACCGAGACTTTTTCTTGAGTATGTTTCATTGTCACTCTTGAGATTCGACAGCGCTTGAGATGACAACGGAATTATTGCAAAATTTGTCCCAGGAAAGGGAATCCGATATTGTCGATTACTCACTTCAAGTTGTTTAGAGCGGGTGTGGTTCGCAAGTTAACAATCCCAAACCTTGTACCTTTCAAGAACTCTTCGATGCTAAAGCGACACGGCGCATTAGGGGAGGGGGGGGGGGGTGGCAGGTCATGACTCGATGCCATCACTAAAATTTTCCGTAAAAGTCAGCACAGCTAACTTCATCTTTGCATTTATGCGTATCGTCGCTTTTTGTGTGCCTTCCTCCCAAAATCAAACAATTATTGTGATGGGATAGCGCCGAGAGAATCCCGTTCTAGATCTTGCGGTGTAAAGGTCTTGTTTTGAAGTGGGTTTCCTTATTCATAATTTGACAATATTGCGATTTGAAGGTATTCGTGAGAAAGTTTTGAAATTTTGTGACTTTTGTAAAACACTTCTTGGTAGTCATCACTGTTATGGGCAGGGTCAAGCGTGGGGTGTGGCATGCCACACCTAGGGGATCGTACTGAGGAATCAGGAAGGAAGGGGGGGGGGGGGGGTCGTTATCAAGGCGCCCGCTGTTCGCATAACATGATATTTGTTAACAATGTCAAATAGGCCCGTCGTTCAAAACACTAGCACATTGATGTTTGACCCATTATCGTATACGTACAGCAAGCATAATTAAAAATCTATAAAGCATAAGAGCATCGTTTTGTAATTAGCAAGTAAAATGACCCCTGTGGTCCAAGTTTCAGCCAATTCTGAGGTTTCCAAATACAGGACCACCTAAGTGAGATGGTCGTTCTCAAACATGTTACTTTGTTTCAAAGATAAGTTAACTACTTCTTTTTGCGCTTAATGCAAAGAACTACTATTTCTTTGCTCACATTAGGAATCCTACTTCAAATGGCTTTTAAATTAAGAAATTAAGAGCGCCAAAATCTCGTTTCTTCCATTTTTCGTTTTCAACTTCTCAGGCTAGAGAAGATCAATCGGGCTTAAATCACTTTAATGTAGATTACGAGGCTTAGGCTGTCGAATAGATACATTCTTGTATTCTTGTCGCCTTCCCTTGCGATTCACATAGTAGCGCAGACTTAGCATGTTACCGTATCCCAATATTTTCGCAGTTTTTTACCAGTATTTTACATTTGCCTAGGTAAGGAAAAACGATTATATCTTGCCCTTGAAGAAATGTTTTTATATGAAATTCGCTATGTAAAGAAGAAGGTTAGGCAATAACAACGATATAAAAAGCACAGCTATTTGACCTGTTTGAAGGTAAGTTATTGGGGTGTGGCACCACCCCTAAAAAACTGTGGCAGCCACAGCTTTTTAGGGGTGGTGCCACACCTTATTAACTATATCAAAAAACATTTTTAGCGAACGTTATTTACATGAGTCGATAGCCGAGACCTTGTAGATTTCATGAGAGTAATTTGAGCCTGATTCGTCTTCTCAGCTCTGAGTAAGATTTGGTGAAAGCATAGCCATTAAAAGCAAAAATTGGAAAAACAAGATTTTGGTTGCTTCTAATTCCAAAGTTAGGAGGTCTTTTTAAAGCGAGGTTTCTGAAATGGCCGAAGAAAGAGTAGTGCTTTGTCTTGAATGCAAAAACAGCTAGCTACATCACCTTTGAAACAAAGTCAATCATGCTGGAAAATGGTGATTTCACTTAGGTGACCCAGTATGTTAAAACTTCAGAATTCGCTCAAACATTGCCTACAGGAGTTAATTGAGATGCTAATTATGGAGATGTTGCCCCTTATGTTTGACAGGGCCTTTAAGTAATGCTAATTTGAGTATATAGTTCGGGGGTCTTATTACAGCAATAAGAGGGGGGGGGGTCGTAACCAGCGATCGTGTGCCACACCTCTTGCTTGACCCTGGTTATGGGTGCTGTGATCTGTTACGATCTTCCGTGCAACTCTTGTTGAGAAAACGTGGCTTATATCACACTTTTTTCGGACAAGAAGGAGGGGCGGAGGAGGCAAAGAGAAGTTTTCTATTTTTTGAATGAAACTCTGTAAAGTGGAACTTGGATGAAGGCACAATATTCGAATACAAATTTCTTCATAAATTTCGTAAGCTTGTGGCAGGGCTCTTAAGTCTAAATGTCTTCTTTCTGGTGAGATTCCCTTTTTTGGGAGTCTACACAAAAAGCTCTTGGAAAAGGAGTGGAACATATGAAGATATGTAAACAACTGGACGATTAAAAACGTATCTATCCCGACCCGTCTGCAAACGACCCATACGTTCGCTAGTAATCGAAATATAATGAAGAATTTTTGTACTACCAATCGATAGAGGTATGCAATACCTGAATTTCCACATGTTCAGTTGCTGGCGCACTAATGTTCCTTTTTGGACTTTGAACATGGACACCCGATGAGCTTGCGTTAGGTGGCGACACTGCAACATATCATTTTGATAAGGCCAGTGATTCTCGCAAAACATATCAATGTGACAAACGGCGACTATGCTGTGGAATTCTTGGTCCCTCTATGATTTCAGCTGAACGAGATTAAATCAGAAGAGAAATATTAGCCGTTATATATAGCTGTATTCTTTACTAAAGACCTGCTCTTCTTCTTCGCAGGGCCGTTTGTTCTTCCACAGCCTAAACTGATTACTTTTCATCAGAGCCTGAAGGTCATTAATATCTAAGACCTATCCGTTGGCTTTCATCCCGTGTAAGTTTCATACGGCAACTTATTTCTTACTTCTTGAGCCGTGATTTGTCTCCACACGCGCTCAATTATAATACTTTTTATCGAGGCCTGATTTTTTCTACGCAAAGCCAATAATATCAAAAACCTACCCGTTGACTTACATCCCTTGTAACTTTCATATGGGCGATTTGTTACCTACTTCTTGGGTCCCGATTGATTTTTTGTGCAATTTATTAGCTACTTCTTGGGCGTAAACTTTAGAATTGGTTTCTGGTATAAGAACAACATCATTTTAAACATGTCTGCTCAGTCCTACTGGAGGGACCTGGTCTTTCTAATTGAATCTCTGCGGCCACCTGAAATGTGTGATTTCATACTTCCGCGTATTGCGGAGGGTTGTCCGACCTCCGGAGCATCCTTTTTCCTTTTTTGGAACTTTCACACCGACTACTCGTCTCCTTTTTGGTTTGTTTTTCTACCCTTTCTTGTTGGTTCAGGTTCGGGCCAAGGCCATTCATATTAAAGACCTACCTGTTCCGGCGCTCCAGGTCCGGCGATCCGAGTTTATAGAAGGTCTCGTCGTCTCACTCCCGAAGCAGGGACGCGAAAAGCTTAATAATCAAGAATTACAGTACATTGCCAAGTGGTCAGTCGAAGGTCTTAGAGGGCGTCCCTTTTCCTTTTTTGGAACTTTCACATCGATTGCTCGGCTCGTTTTTGGTTTCTTTTGTGGGCTTTTCTAACTTTTCTTGTTGGTTCAGGTTCGGCGATCCGAGTTTATGAAAAGTCTCGAAAATGAAGAATCACAGTACGTAGGCAAGTACTGTGCTTATAAGAATATCAGTCGAAGATCTCAGAAGGCATATATCGTATATATATATATATATATCTTTAGGCATATATTTTGTCTGATTTTTAGCACATAAGTCCATTCATATCACAGACCTACCTGTTTACTTATATCCCGTGAAAGTCTCGTACGGAAAGCACGTTTTGCTTCGCGAGAAATCCACTCAGATCTTCTTAGTGTCCATCTGTCGTCTGTTCTTCTCATAATGTGACTGGCTCATCGATGCTTCGCTTTCGCAACCTACTGGGTCACGAAGACGGGCGGCAGCTTCTCATACCTGTACTGCGAAATTCGACGAGATGTTGTTTGTGTCGGGTCATCTTCAGAAGGCTGCGCTCTAGCGCTCTATGGGTGGTCCTTAGAGCTTTCAACGTTACTACGGTGTCAGCCTAAGTCCCAGCTCGTAACAGAGCGCCGGGAGAACGGTTGAGTCAAACAGATGGGCACGAAGCTCCGGGTCCGTCAGTTGGTCGGTGGCTTCCTTCAGAGGCCCGACTTAATTGCTCTGGAGTTCTTGATAGCACAGGCTGCTCTTCTTCACCTGTTAAGTTCTTCCTTCAAGTCGTTCTCCATATTCATCGAACGTCCAAGTTACACGTAAGAAGACGTATCCATGATAATGATGCCTTCCAATTCCATTGCGGCATCTTCACAAGGTCGTTCTTCATGGAGTGAGTCTTCTTCCAATTTATTCTCAATCTGTCTAATCTTCTTCTCCACTTCGTTTAGTCCCAGCGTCTCTGCTTCAGTGATACTGCTCGAGAAGAGTAATTGCAATAAGAACAAGTATACAAGATTTGTTGAAATATCACGGACATGTTACAAGAAATTTCGATATGAAAAGATGGGAAAAACTGAAATGTAGTATGAATAGAGTTTTCAATTTCACGTACAAAGGGCAATAAGAAAAAGGAAATCGATCAGTAATCTTGAGTGCAGAAAAAGTCATCAAAAACTATACAAGCATATTCAAACTCACTAACGACCTAATGGAATACATCGAATATCTGAAGAAATTTCTGCAAAAAGCTAAAACTCTTCCCCTATAGAGAAACCAAAAGTGCAATTAATTTGTCCGTAAGATAAAGCAAATTACAGTTCCGGGAATATGCGTTGAATTTCACATCAGTATCTTGATAAAAGAACCGGATATCAATTTAAGTGATAATGGAATGATTATCAATCAAAAGTTAACTCAGAACTTACCCAAATAGCGAAATAATTAACACGTCGACTTCCCCGAGAACGGAGCATGTCACTGCAGACTCGATAAATCGATGATCTACCCTCACAACACTGACGTTGTTGCGTCTGCAAATCTCCAACCTCAGCCCAGTCTACTCCGGGGAAACGGCGATAGTACTCATGATCCACCTCTGCGGAATATCAACAGTGCACCGTTAATATACCGCTTACACATAGGAATCCCGTAAAATTTGTTCATTACAGGTGCCACTAACAGCATGAGCCGCTAGCCATAATCTCTCCTTGAAAATGATCAAATAAGTTTTTGACAGAAAAATCAGGCTATTGAAGCATACTTACCCTAATTTCACGCGTACAAGGCGCACCTTTTTCGATTTCAAATAAGCCGCTCAACCGCTTCAACTTCTTTCGGATAGCGAACCTTAAACCGTTCAATTCTCGCAGGCAATACGGAGCCCGGTATAGGGTTCTTTAGTAGCGAAGTGTTGTGGCGTGTTTGGGCTGGCGGATTTTAGAAAAAAATCCCCCGCGCCTTGTACACGTGAAATTAGGGTACTCGCAAGTGGATAAGTGTGCTTCAATAACCTGATTTTTCTGTCAAAACTCATTTGATGATTTTTTTGAGGAGAAATAAAATGACATTCTTCGAAGTAGAATTTTAAAAGTCCATCCACTCTTTTCGGACAATCAACGAAATCTATTGTAAATATGCTTCGAGAGCAAATGTTGATTTCCACTTTTTTTCTCAAAGAACAAATTTTGTCGCTCAAGCAATTTAGTCTCAAGTGAGGGTAAAGTCTGACGCTCCGCAAAGTAGAGCTGATTTTGCTTCATCCCTTTTATGCACAAATTTCAAGAAAACCTCTGAAAAAGTCATTTTTGGAGCAGTTGGAGCAATCGACCAAAACAACAGATCTTTCAGCGAAATACTGAGCGATTAAGTAAATTTGGTGTCGAAGAAAGGTAAAATATTAGGTCGTTCCGAAAGTTCTTTCCGTTTTTTCAACATATCATAAAAACACGTGGAACGAAGAAAAGGAAACGCTTCAGGCCCTCTTCGACGCAGTTTTTCTTCCTCTTTTCAACTATCACACTCCTATGCCGTTCGCTCTTGTGGTCAGTGAGATAATGACCGAAATTTCGGACCTATGGTTTTTACCATGTCTAACTTTGGCAATTTTTCACTGTCTTCTTTTTTGACTTCTGGAAAAGCTTTGATAGCAATCGGATAGAGTAAACAAAGTGCAATGCAATGCAATTTTTGGCGATTCGAGCTGGCTTCTCATTATTTTTTGAGATAACTTTTTCAGAGGTCTTCACATTTTCAGAGTCATAAAACACACAAACACTCTGAACATCAACAAATCTTCGGTTTTCGAAACTTTCAAAAGTCGTTTATGATTGTACACTGTTTTTACAAAGTAACTGAGCGTTTACCGCTTCGAAATATAAGATTTCGCATTTTACGGATACATCATGAGGCGGGTTCAAAATCAAGATTTATGGAAATTTTATCGCCAAAAACCCCACAAACTAAGAAGAAAAAGCACTCATCAGAAAGAGGAGAAAAAGCTGCATCGAATGACACCTTAGTTGTGCGCCGTTTCAAGTTCTATGGTTCATGGCATCACCAAAAGCGGAATTTCATAGCATCAGAAAAATAATTCTAAAAAAATTTCAAGGCTAGCTATAGATGCCAAAAAATTGCATTGCATTGCCCTTTGTTTACTCTATCTGACTGCTACCAAAGCTTTTTCAGAAGTCAAAAAAGAAGACAGTGAAAAATTGCCAAAGTTGGACATGGTAAAAACCATGGCTCCGAGACTTCGGCCATTATCTCACTGACCAAAAGAGCGAGCGGCACAAGAACATGATAGTTGAAAAGAGGAAGAAAAGTTGCGTCGGACAGGGCCTGAAGCGTTTCCTTTTCTTCGTTCCACGTGTTTTTATGATATGTTGAAAAAACGGAAAGAACTTTCGGAACGACCTAATATTACGGTTTTGAAATAGAGAATCATTGGGAACACTCATCTTTCTTTTTTTGTATAAATTTCAACGAAGTATCACAAATCGGTTTTATGAATAAAAGTGCTGGAAAATCTAATTTGTCTAGCGAAGAAGTGATCAAGCAAATTTGCTCGAGAAGAGGTAAAGACCTGCGAAGTAGCTTTTCGAGGGCGAAGATCTTATCAAAAGCTCCGTTTCTATCATTTTCTTGCTTCAGGTCACCAGACCTCGTGAAAGCAGCAGATTTTGGGATCGGGTCTTTTAAAGATTTAGCTAGAAGACAAGGTCAGTAGAACTTCTATACTCAAAATAACAAAACTTTGCTCAATTCTTTCTCATTTAGTGAGATTGTTATAAGAGATACCGGTGTTACTTAGTTATTTATTTATTTATTCATTTAATACGCTCATAGGCGCGCCACTTTCTTAGTAAACAGCACCAACAATAACAGCGTCAATGAAGTTAGTATAACATCAAGAAGATGAAAAAACAGAAAAAATGAAAAAGCGTTGGTAATCTCGGAACGAAAAAAAATGCGGCGATGGAGAATTTCGATCAGCGCAGGTGGAAGAGCAAGACTCGATGAACCGTTGCCGCCAACGTTAAACAGCCGGCAAGAATCAATGGTAGAAGAGAACGATCAGAGACTCAACCTAAACATCAGCTATATGCAAATATTCCAGTACATTAATAGAGCCTAATTTCTTACGAAAAGAGGATGCGTCTTTATTAGAAATAATTTCCTTAGGTAAAAGGATTAACCATCTTGTGGTTCGGCAGAAATATGAATTGAAGGTCTGCAAAAAGCATTTTTTACCTAGCTTCCTGTAAGGCGAATTGAACCCACCTGTGATTTAAAATTAGATTATCTGCTTAGCAGTGGCGGAACGAAGAGGAGGGGGCGGGGGGGGGGGGTAAAATGTGCAAACTACTTGTTTATTCTTGTAAACAATTAGAATAATTTAGAAAATTTCTTAAAAATTCAAATTAGCCTTACGAAAAATTTTTTTCGGGGGCGTGACTAACGCCACGCCCCTTTTTTTCCAGATTTTATAGGGGTTGGGGACCAGCAAAAATTTTGAGTCGCACCCCTAAAGTTTTTCCGGACTGCGTGGCTGACGTCACGCATTTCATTTGAAAATTTTTTAAACCCCCCCCCCCCGGACGGAAATCCTGGAACCACCACGGCTGCTTAGATATTACCAACAAAGTAATTCATAATTGCAGTTTTTTTACATAGTCCTACTAAAAGTCGGAAAATTAGCTCCAAATGAAGGCTGTGTTTTTTTGTAGGGTGAAGTTGATTTTTTGTGGAATGGGATCGGAAAAGGGGCGTATTCGGCACACTAAACCATTTGATGGGGTCGGGCAAATGAATCTCAAACCCTAATCACGAGAATAGCGTTTTTATGAAAAAATTCTTTATTATCATCGCGAAATACAAATTCCAAGATCTATATAGGGGCAGTGTGCTTAAGCAACTTATAGCTGGCAGATCGTCATTTACAAACGTCCGGTTTATGCTAAGAAAGTAGCGAATTATAGACGATGCTGTAGGTCCATCTTGTCGTCTTCGTCAAGCTCATTGGCTAAATACTCACATTTTTTACTTTAAAGGAAGGGTTTTCGCTGTAAAACTTACAGTATTGTCCGCAGTCTGGGAGTTCTCCTTGTGTACGAGACTGATCGAATTCACGACCATATCTATCTACACACCAGCAGTAGCCCTTATGACATTGCTCGGGGCGATAGAAACCCTCGAGGTCGCAACGGGGGAGGAATGCGCCTAAAGCAATTTGTTATAAAATTTTGAAGGTGAAGCCAATGTGACTTTGATTTTGAAGGCGCTGTCCACCTAGAATCTCGACTTCCAGGTTTCTTTTTCTTTTCAGGGCCTTCTCATGTCCCTGACTCCGAATATGAAATCGAAAATTCGCGAATCCCCGACAATCCCCGGAAAACCCACAGGACGGCTTTCCTGAACGTTGATTGGATGTGCGCGCAGGGATGGGCGGGCATGGATGGAGAGGGAGGTGCGGTGCCGTCTGGGGGTCCTCTTCCTCGTCTTCGGTCATCTTCGCTATTCCGAAGCGATTTTCTCGCTTCCGAAGCGACATTTTGCGCCGGGGCTTGGGCATTGGCTTGATAGGAAGTCCTTCTGTCATATGCTGCAGAAAGCTCAAGACCCTTAACTTAGGGTGGACGGTGCCTCTAACTGAAAGATTTTCTGAAGAAGTCTTTATACCAGAGAAACGTTGACAAGCTGTATAACTCGGTTACTCAAAAGTTGGTTTTATTATTACAAAGCGGAAGCAGACAGCAAGAAGGAAACTTACTAAAATTTACTATCCTTTGTTCAAAAGATTGTTTCTATCATTTCAAACAGGTATTTTAACGGAATTTTATTCGAAAATATAGTTATTTTTGAACTTTCTGCTTTTCAATCTTTATACAAATTCTTTGGTTGAATGTGTATTTATTAATTTCTTCAGCGAAAGATGTTACAATCTTCGTAAACAATGTGGGGTTTGATTTTCTAACAAAATCCTTTCGAAAAATTTTCATCACTCCTGTCTGAGGATCTCTTGTCGGAAATTTTTCAAGTTTTTACACGATTGCTTTGCAGACAATCTGCTTACATAACCCGCAATTTTATTCTGTAAAAAATTCTTCTGAGTAAATTTATGCTACGAGTGCGTCACCTGGAACAATTATTATTTATTTTGCAACCATTAGTGATTTAGCTGGCTGTGCGTCATAATGCTCTATCTTTAGGGTTTTCCCTTTTTTTAGTAGTAATATTCGGTTTGAGTCGAGAAAAATGAGCTGGTCAACTTTGCTATCAATTTTTTTTTGATTTTCGCAGATGATTTGAATGGTTTTATAAAAACGGTATACATTTTTAGGTTGTATAGCTTCCCTTTATAGCTCTTGAGATTTTTGACGTATCTTAGGATATATTTGGCCGGAAACTTCATAAAAAACTCGAATCAGTTTTCTCCCAGTTGAAGGGAAAAAACCAGATGAAAAAGATTATGTTCCCCTGTATGACACAAAAGTTATTACACGTCTTTGTTTATAGGTCTTTCGAAGGGTTGCAGAAATTAGCCTCCCCCCTCTCCTCTGATTTTCCCTTTGCTACTTGAACACCCGAAAAATTCTCGACATTGTAGTTCGGAGTTGCTGTCAGTTCATCTCTCATCGCGCCGCTCGCCCGACTGTCATGTTAATCGCCAATCCGCGATTAAATCCTCGTAAAATTCACGACACTGCCGGGATGACCGTAAACCCGTAAACAAAGTTCAACTCACCAAGCACTCATGCACTGTACGAAGACTAATGCACTTAAATTGTGAGTTATAAACCGTGGGAAACAGGAAATTCTCACGAAATTTGGTTAAGTTCTTGTACATAATATTAAATTGGTTTCTTGTACGTCTACTCGTTAATTTTTTTCACTTCGCCTTCAAAATCATACTTGAGGGGGGTGCAGCGCTAACTTTCAGTCGACAACATAAAAAAGAGGCGGGGTAATGCAGGATGCTTTTCTCTCCGCGTCCCAATACCTTCGCTTATCGGACTTTGGGTGTTGTGTGCAATTAGACGATTTTTATTTTAATTAGCATTGCGCCAACAATTTCTCCTCTGCGAGGCAAATGCGCGTAATTCGTGAGTTTACATCTTGAAAAATAGATTTTCTTTTAAATTCGTTAGCTTTTCTTGATCTTTTTTTTGCTCAAATATTTCGATTTAAAAAGGAGACAAAAGTTCTGCGCGTATTTATGCAATCACGTCTTTGCTTTGTGGATTTTGTGTGCTGCGTTCAATTGCAACGCCTAAAACAACCGCAAAAACGTGCCAACTTTCCAGGATCGCTCGTGATCTGCCTCCCCTTTTTCAATGTTTTTTTTCTGAAAACTTACCAGCCATGTGAGGATCCACTGAGTGTTTCTCCTTGTGGCAAGGAGGCTCATGACGTATATCATCAGCAAACGAGAAACAATCGCACCATTCGTCGACGGAAATCTTGCCGTCGATTATCATGTCATCTGCAACGTGAAAAGATACGCTGTAAATTTACCTCAAATTCACTACAGACAAACATTCACATAAGTTGTATTTCAGGGTTAATTCGTTTTCCAGCGTTGGTGATAACGTTTGCGCGCAAAAAAAATTATGAGTCACAGAATTTGGAAATTTGAGTTCAAACACGGTTTTCTACGCGCAAATGTTGCCGGCATTATAGAAGTAGTCAGTCCCTTCGTCTACAAAGCTCTACATTATATGAAATGAAAGGATGATTGTAATGCAGCTAGCGTCAGTTGTTTTTTCATGAGAAAAATGAGCCAAAAATCTGAATTTTTTGAAAACTCAAACTTCTTCATCCTTGCTTATACAATTCTGATGGTCCCTTTTCAGCGCAAAAATCTTCCATTTTCTTTTCTGCTTTGTCAATTTTCACACCAAGAAGCTCAAGAATGATTTTCAAATGTTTGACCTTCTAGATTGCAAATCGCTAATCTTTCACGGACTCCAAAACTGAATGCATTAACGGATTTATGACAATGAAAAAATTGATTTCCATGTTAGAAACCGGGGAAACATGGAAATGTCAGTCATATGATGTATCGTTTCCAGTCTTTGTGAGAGTTTCGTCGTTTTATTTCATCTCGACAAGTTTTAGCTCGATTCTCTTATAATTTTACATTTTTTCTGTAATCAGTCTAAAAGGTCTTACTTGATTTAGAGAAGTTTTTAAGAGGTTTTAGGTTTTTTTCTTGACGAAAAAGGTTAAAAAGCTTTTTAAAATTTACTGGGCCCTTACTACAAGCTCCCTTTACTCGATTGCCAATTGTTTTTCTCGACGAGTAAACAATGTCCACTTGCAGAATGCAGCGCATAGGTCGCTGCTAGCTTGTTGATCTCTAAGAAACCGGTACTTAACAACTCCCCCCCCCCTCTCTTTCCCCTTCTTACCAGTTCGTGACCACTCAAGAAGAATACAAGCAACTGACCGCACATATCGATGAATTGAGCCACACACGCTTCACGACCGTTACCCTCGAGTGGCATCAGTTCTTCCTGTAAATGAAAAATTAATGGTTACGATAAAAACTGATTTTCTGATTTTCTTCTGTTCAGTGGAAAAATCAGAACACAACCGCTGCATGAGAATCCATCGTGTTTTTCCAAGGTCACTTGAAGTGTCATTTGTCAATGAATGTGAACTTGCACAACTTACGCGCCACTCCACGACATCTTTCTTTAACACACAGCGACACCTCTTCAATGGAACAAATTTTCAAAATTATATCTGTTATTGAGTACTCATCATCAAAAACAGGACGACCAAACAAAGAGAAATTTTTGCAAGTATCCAAGTTGTTTGGTGCATAGTGTACAGTATACATACCAGCTCATAAATGACTCGAATGTCATTATTTTAGAAATTTGTGTAGTTGCACATGAAACCAGCGCTAATTTTACGTAATCTCGTCTACGTGTATCTGTTCAATCTGAATGATGACCACAGTTAATATTCAGCATTTACATATTTTTCGCTAGCATTTAGATATATGATTTGGACTCAAAAACGTGATCAGAGGTTGTACAGTCTAATCATTTCATATGATCATGTGTGCCATTGCACACGCTGTCCATCTTTTTCGTTCCCATCCTGGGTTTTTGTAGCAGACAACCGTTCAAATACGTGTTTTTGATGTGTTCTCGAAGTTCTTCTCCCTTTTTAGGTACTACTTAGCTCAAAATGATGTAAGTAAATCCCGGATGAGGACGTCAAAGTTGGACGGTGTGTGAAATGCACACATGATCACATGAAATGATTCGACTGGATTAGATCATTCGGAAAGTTTTTCGCTTTTTGCGCCTTTGATGTTGGTGCCATGTTTTACGAGAGTTTGATAGGGGTTGCTATACATGAAATTGTAGAGGAAGTCTTCTAGTTTCTGAAGATCTTACCGAAGTTGCAGAAAACGCTTTGCAGGGAAGTTTACGTGGCTATAAATTTGACATATGAAAACGCGATTTTTGAATAATTGCACTCTTTGACGTCAGTCTTGAGTGTAAGGCAGTCAAAGAAGCCATCATTGTGCGCAATGCATTTGCTAAGGCCACGTCTTTCTTGACGTTGGTTGGAGTCTGCTTCAAAAAGTCCAGATCTAGAGAAGTGAAAGCTAATGTTTTGCACTGATTTGGAAGGTGTTCCTGCCATATAAACGAGCATCTCAAAGGGTGCTTTAGAGCAAATCGCAAATATAGCTGCATAAAACTATGAGCAGGCCTTGTAGTGTCATATAGCCCCATTTGAAGCCGCCATCGCTAAAGCTGTAATACCAAAAAATATTAGTGGCATACACCTCACAAATTGTCGCACTCGCAGATTGAGGACGCGTTGACTCCGCTTTCGTTGTTCACAATTTGATGGAGCAATCCTTTTTTGGCCTGGCTTATTAACTACAGCAAAAAAAAAATGGCCAAGTGCGGTTACAAGAAGCGACATTGCGGTAAATCATTTGGAATAAGCACTGAAAACATGGCCAGAACAATCGGTCATTACAAAAGGTTGATGTACTCAAATTAATGTAATCCTGCTGGTCTTGTAGGCCATAATCTTGCTGAGATGCGCTTATACTGTAAGAGCAGAGTAATGTGATATCGCTCTAAAGACCGTTTGTCAAAACTTCAAGACTGAGCAGACTTGCACGTATAATCTATGAAAGGTGCCATCCTCGCCCTGACGCCGTCATACCACATGCATGAGAAAAGTGGCCCTTACAAAAGGGGTTGACTGCGCACCGAGGTTCCTGTTCATTTTTCGAACTCTATGGACCTTCCTTTACCAGCCACCAAATTCTCCAATTCCTCGATGCCTATTGAAAAATAATAGGACCCAATAAAAATTAGGTTGTCAAAAATGCCTTTTTAGGTTTTATTGATTCCCTTAAGATGATTTCGCAAGAAAAAAGCACATGAACACCACATTAATGTTACAGAATTCTGCTGAACACATTGATATTTATTTGGAAGAAAAAGATGGGATCTGGAAAAAGTTGTGCTCGTTTGAATTTAGAGGTGCGAAGATGAAAAAACTTTCCGAATGACCTAATACCTGATGAGAGTAATTATGCCAATTCAGGCTTCTTACAATCTCATCATTTGACAAATCTGACATAATGTCAATTGTTGATTTTCTACACTAATGGAAAAAATGTTTGATATGTAAATATCATTATTATAGGGGTGTATGATTACACATTTTACATCACCCTTAATCGTACGGACCATAAATACTGCGCTGTCTTAGAATCTCCGTTAAACTTCGGGACCATAACAACAAAAAGGAAACCCTACTAATAACTACTTTGCTACTTGCTGCAAATGCTCCTCCTACTGTAATTCTTCAAATAGCTGCACAAATACTTTCTCAGCCCTGCAGACATTTCTGATGTTTATTTTATTAGCCTTCTATGTTTTAGCAATTTCTCTTCGTACTAAGGTTTCGTAACTATTACATTTCATACTTCACATCTTTTTTTTGACACCTCAGGTCTCATGAGTGTTATGAGACCTGAGGTGTCAAAAATTACTTTCAAATTATGGTATGCATTCATTACGGGTATTTCACAAAAGGTAACATCTTCTCGCTTTTCTGTATACTTGGTGCAGGGGATAGAATTACATTGTAACAGTATACAAGCACGACTTTTTTACTTTTTTTTCCAGAGAAAATGAGACTTTCACACCGTGGCTTATTCGTCATGTCGGCCCTAGTTCAAATGTAAAAACAGTGTTGTCTCAATATAAATTTACATTTTACCGTAACCTCTTCTGCAGAAAACTGAGAACTTTTGAATGAGTTATGAGAGCAGCTTCTCAGTGATCAAAATCTGAATGGACCTTATAAATTCATAATATAATCCTTGTGAAAATTCTCACTCAATATTCCAAATCTATCGTAAATTTTTTTAAACGACATCCAATTCACATTCATAATCATGGCTAAACGTTCTTACCGTACCCTTACAGTAATCAGCCAATGATTTCCATACTATGCGTCCTTTGAAATCACTCATTCATTACGATACCTTGAAATTTGAATATATGTGCGTTGAGAGGAGAGATTTATCAAGTATCAAACAGCTCACAATTTTTGGAACCCTTATTTTTTTTCCCCGATGACGACTCGTTGATTATTAGCTTATTTTGAAAATATCCTTTTCAATATTGTTGGTTTTTTAGTCTCTGAAGTAGCCTTAGGTTTTTATCCAATAGAAAAACTAAAGTTGTCGTTTTTGGAAAGAATTTTCACCAGATAATTATTCGAAGTGGATTACTGTATCTATGTTACGGTATCTTACAGTAACTCTTCCCACCTTTGTCAGATGTCCATTATTATCTCCGTCCCATTGCTCGAACATCCATGCCACATCGTTACGGCAAGCGATTTTGTGTGCTGCAAGCGAAAAGATTTCATCTGATGGCAAAGTATGGTAAAAACTACACAAACTCGTCCATGAAGGACGAATTTTCTGCTTTTTCGACAGATTTCATTTACAACTCACAACCTTTGCTAGTAATTGCAAACGTAAATGCGGCGAGGCCAAACTGGAGAGAGTAAAGTGAACCACTCTCTATCCCGGAATCATTCCATTTGACATCAATTTTCGAAAAAACAGAAATATTCAAGGGTGATAGTAATGGCTTTGATTGGTAGCTTTTCTATGTGGACTTTATGGAGCCATTGATCGTTGATTTTTCTATGTGAAACTGACCAAGTCACTTTAGTTTCTTTTTTTGTTTTCCTGTTAAAAGTATTGTCATATTGCAACAAAAAAACAGAAACATTAAAGTTTGAAGAATTAACATTGGACGGAAGCCTTGGCCACTTTTTTTTAAATTCGACTAATGGTCCTCTAACTCTTTATAACGAAAAAGTGCAAATTTCCAGTTTTACAAAAATGTTACCGTTTGCACAATCTGACAAACTGAACACAAAATGAACATACCATATACCTATCGTGATGCGACCATAAGAAACTATCGTGATGACCGAATATTTGTGATCTTTTGTCAAATAACACTATCAAAATTTTGTGTAGTAAGCTCGTCTCCTTACTATGTTATTTTTTCATTCACTTTCATTAATTTTTACTAATTACTTTTTACAATTCTTATATTTTATTCATTTTTTGTATTGATATTTTTTTCATCATTGATACAACTATTGTTTTCATAACCAAAAAATGTCGATAATCTGCTTACAGGCACTTTACTTTTTTGCTCGGACTATCATGTGGTAGAGGAAATTTCGCCCATCTTCCTCCCCTCCCGCCTTACTCTTTTCTATCGTCGTGACAATAACAAGTGTCTCAACCTACTCTTCTACCCTACCTACTTCTGTCCAATAACTTACAGATTTACTCTGTGAAAGTCAGTCATAAATCTCGTCGAACACGACATTCCCACGCCTAGTCAAAGCGAGTAATCGCACGCCATCGCCCAGGTGGCCTTCACCCAGCCCTGGCCTTCAAATGAAATTCTAGTTGTGAAAGGCTTCGAGTAGCAAGAGCAGTGAAAATTGCTGCTGCCCTTTACCCGAGTAATTTTCTCTGTCCCATAATTCCATTAAGATCGCTATTATATCTCGATCCTTTGGGAACTGGCCGTAATCTTGTTCCTTGAATGAGGCTATGGTGTCATTGAGGAAACTTCGAGTTACTTTACAGAAGTCTTAGTAAAAGAAAAACTTCTGTAAAGAAGGCTTTAGTCTTTAGAAGAGGCATTCATCATCATTCTTCAGCATCTAAATCATTATTAGGGAATTATGAAGTGTATGAGGGTATCAAATGGGCTGCGGCCAATCAGAGGCATTAATATTTACTCTACGATGGGGTATACCGAATAAATTTTCTCCTTCTCTTAAAAATTGTGTAGAGCATTGTTTCATAATCGAAAAGATTACTTTCTTCTGAAGCACTTTTTCCTTTTTTTTCGTTGGTAAAAAGCCCATTTGTACAAATTTTTTTCTCGAGAAGGAGAGAAAAACGAAATTCAACACAGACGGTTTATGAACTCAATTGAAATGAGTGTTGATTACATAAAAATATTTTTAGCACCATGGTAAGCAGGCTCAAATGTATGTTTGTACTCTCTCTCTCTCTCTGCTTATTCACTTTGTTCCTTTCGTCTGAACAAGCACAAAAGATGGTTTTCAGAAAGAATTTCAAAACATTTTTGAAGAAATTGTAAGATTAAATTATTTGCGTGAGGATAGTGCTTATTTTAGCATTTCTAAAAATTAATGTAAAAATTATGCCTTGTAAAAGGAACCTGATCTCTTCGGAAAAATGTATGAGGCCATTTGTCCAAAATTCATAAAGATTAGCGGTCTCGTGCTCTGAGACAAGCGGAATTTTGATGTTTTTTCATTACGTATTTTTGCTGATTTTCATTCCACTGTTGAACACATAGAGCTTAGAAAAATTCAAAAAATTAAACAATTTTCAAAAGCCTAAACGCTTACTGTTCAACAGCACTCCAAGTTTCGTTTGTACTTATCTCACCCTCTCATCAGTCCTCTCCTCACTTTCAATCGCGATTGATAAGCATTCGATAAGCATCTGCTGTGAAATTTTGCTTGTTTTTATGAAATTCATGTTCAGCTATTCAAATTAATTATTGAATACATTTGTATGTTGTTGTATTCAAAATTCTGCTCATTGATCACAATTAGAACTTCATATAGTCTGATGTGCTTTGACAGATAACAGTTGACAGTCACATCACAGCTTAGACACTGGTTAACAAATGATTTTTTATAGGATTTTTGATGATGATCAATGATTCTTCTTTGGCTTAGCGTAACTTTCAGAACGATAGAATAAGATTTTTTCCCCGAAGTTATTTTGAATTTTCGATGCGTTTTTTGCCGGCATCCTCGCATGCATTGTCTAGTCTCAAGCAATTTGAAAAGAAATTCAAACGCGTGGTGAAACAAAAATCTTTCTTTTCTCCGAAAAGGAAAGTACATAGAAGGTTGCCAATGTTATGCGCCACAGAGCAGTTCAAGAATAAGCACTATATTAGCTCAGACGTGCATGAAAATGTGCTCTGTGGTCATGCAAGTCAGCTTTCAAGCATTTTTATGACTATTCGTTTGATTTTCTGGGAATATTGACCTTGTAAAAAATCCAAGAAAAGCCATTGCAAATCTGTTAGATTGTCCGGAAATCAATGCAGGTTTTGAATTCCAACCGCAATAAGTCATACACTTCTCATATCTGAGTTGGTTGCAAGACACCATTCGATAGAACAAAGCAAGCTCTACAAGATGGCTGTCTTGCTTTAACAACAACTCTGATCCACTACGAGTTTCGAGCCAAAAACTGAAAAGATTCAACAGCCCGAAAAATTGAGAAAAATCATAGTTCAGTGCATCAAAATCCTACAAAAATTCTAACTCGCTCACATAAACACTAACCACATAAGACATCTATATACGCCGTTGCCGTATTTTTTTCTCTGTTAGAAATCAAGAAAACGGAAATTTTCGTGCATTTGCCAAAGTGGTGCTATGGCGTTCCCACATAAGTAGTTGTATACTACAAACCTGTAGAAGTACGTAAATTTCCAGCTCTCTACAAGCTTTAGTTCTCGAGAAATATCGAATATAGCTTTTTATGATCGGGTGTTTCAAGCCAAAATTCAAATTTCTCAAAAACTAAAGCACTTCTACAGACTTGTAGTATACATTTGCTAAAAGAAAATTCCAATAAGATCTAAAAAGCTTCCCTAAAGAGGTAGCCAACGAAAAATTTATTTGATTCACTGATACCTGTATAATTATTCTAAATCTAAGTTAAAGATCTTCTTTTCCTGGATCAAATTCAATGTTTTGATTTTTGATACTTACGTTTTTCGTTTCACTTCTTGATTTTTCAGACTTTTGGTTACAGTTGTTACTTACAAAAAGAATCACTTTATTTTCTCCTATAAAATCTACAAGAAAATTTTCGAATTTTTCTGCTGCTTTTCTCTAAGTTTAGAGCTAGTTAGAAATACAATCTTTCGTACAAGAGGCCGATGTGATTGTAAATTATGGGGTAAATTGCCTAGCATGTTTTAAAATATTGATTTTCTACAGAAATTTGTTTTCATCGGCGTTTGGAGTGTCGATTCAACTGTAATCGGAGCTAGAAGACTTCAACCAACTTTTTCATATCATATATCATAAAAAAGGTAAATTTGATAAAGAATACATGGTGATGGTAACTATAAATCATTGAGGGTTTCACTTTCCATATAATATCGATCGTTACAAAAATTAACTTTCACGTTTTTAGCATCAGCGAACTTTTGCTTTGTTTATGCGGATTATGCTAATGGCAGATTAATTATTTTCTAGTTGTGGAAAGAGTGGCTGTTGTAAAATTTTATGAAAGGGATTTGATGTGAAGCTAGTGCTGGCTATAAATTGGCTATGTTTTTAGTATTTTGAATATAATTTTATTTTAGCTATAAATCTATTACTTTTTTCTGTATCTAGTATAGAAATTTGTTTACATTCCGGTATCAAACTATAAGTCAAGAAATATCGAGGTGAGAAATTCCTTCTTCAGTCAACGTTCAATACAATTCTCTCTATTCTCATCAAGTTCTGTGCTGCTAAACACACCATCAATCATAATCAAATTCTTTTCTCCGTTTTTGCTTCATTTTCTTCGTGCAATTGAGCGTATGATTCATTTTCGACGATTACCTCCTACAAGTGACTAATTCGCATTTTTTATCAGGAATTTCTTCAACAACGGGGTAAACACGACGATTCTCTCTATTTGCAATGGCTTCATGTGAGTCCAGTCCGGTTGGCAGTGTTTATTCATACGCTTATTTGTTTTTGCTTTGTTTCTCTAATCCACTTGGTTTTCCGCACTCACCCCGGCCCTCATCTCCGGCGAAATTCTTGTTTCTTCTTCCGCAACTCCTCGCATTATGTTCGCCCCCGTCCACCCCCCGTGGTGTTCGGCCCCCTGAAACTCGAGGGCGCGGGGAGCTCCGCCTTCGCTCAGCGTCTGCGCGCGCACGCAATTTCGCGAGGGGCACAGCTGGGCGGCAAATTCTTCTCTTTGTCTAAGAATTGTTGTGGAGAACGAGGTCTTTCAAATTTCTTTGTCATTTTGACTTTTTCATTTTTTCTCTTATTGCTGTTTGAGAGTTTCAGCTCTTTCCGAACATTTCATGGTTTTTTGATAAGAAATTTTCTTTTCTTTTTTTCTAAGATTACAGAAATAATTTTGATGGTTGCATTTCGACTAAAATTCACAAAAATTCAAACATCGTTCAAAATTCTATCGATTTTTCATTGTTAAGTTCTAATGGTAAAATCTTCCTATTTTTTCCTGCTTCAACAGCTCGATATCTGGGACCACAGGTAGGAATGTTGATGTTGCGTTTGCATCTCCGGTGAATGAACTTATGCAAAAATGCCTTTTAATTGCAAGGATTTCTCTACATTCAATGTACTCAGGTTGAAATTCGCATTTTATTGTAATTTCTGATTTTTCAGCTTAATATTTCAAATTTTTCAATTCTTTTTTATTCAAAAATTGCTGACTCACTGCTGACTGGTTTACAATGGTAAAGAACGTCATCTTCTCCAATTCTAATAGTTGATGATTATTTCCTCTGATAACAACTAAGGGCCGCATGCACTAACATGGCCGCGGGGAGGGGATCGCAGCTCAAAAGAAAGCTTCATATTTCGAAACTCCAGATACTTGGATTTCACGTTGTGTACCTATCCGTAAGTATTCCTACTATCCTTCACTATGAACATATTGAACAGGAGCGAGAAGCTGTACAAACCGCATTTTCCAGATTTTGCATGATCCCTGATGATCCCCGCCGCTTTTTTTAAACTTATTTTTCTTTCTCCGAAGTCAACGAAAAACTTCCAAAGTTGTGCAGATTATCTGACCCAACAGTGCTAAGCATGTTGCTGATAAGAACAAATGATGTTTTGAAGTCATGAAATTTTCGATGATCCACAGGTCGAAATTTGGGGTATACCGAAAAATGCGATTTTTCAAAAATTCATTTGTTCTCATCAGCAACATGCTTAGTACTGTTGTGTTAAATGTTCAGTATAACTCTGGAAGGTTTTCGTTAACTTCGGAGAAAGAAAAATGACTTTGAAGAATAGATGTTCGTCCCCCAGGGATCATCAGGGGATCCTACAAAAAGCTGGGAATTGCGGCTTGTACAGCTTCTTGCTTCTCCTCAATATGTTCATAGTGAAGGATGGTGGGAGTACTTACGGACAGGTAGACAGCGCGAAATCCAGATATCCGGAGCTTCAGGATATGAAGCTTTCTTCTGAAGCTGCGATCCCCTCCCCAGCGGAAATTTTAGTGCATGCGGCCCTAAGAGTAGAAGAGAACTTTGTGAAAATTTGTTGTAGATTGTTCAATAGTCTACTGGACAAAATATATGCTTAATGTAGCTGAAACAATATTCGAACAATTTTCACTCGATATACTGCTCTATGTTGGTATTCCGCAAATTCCTCCCTCCCCCCTACTCTCCCGTTTACATATTTTTCTTATCTAAACTGCTCGTTATTCTTTACTTTCTCCACTACTCTGCCTTCATTGTTCATTGTACTTTGCTTAGTCAGGTCTATTTTTATAGAACTTATAATCATTGGCACTGATTTCTTCAGTTTCGTGTCTCATCTTCTATTAGGTTGTCAAGAAAATAATGTCGTTTTTTATTTGCTTGCCTTAACAAAGCAACCAGACTCAACCCAACAAAGGGAAATGGGTATAGTTCGATAGAGCAAAGCAAGCTCTACAAAATGGCTTTCATGATTTTGCGCCAAGCTTGATCCACGGAATGTTCGAACTCAAAATCCGAAGGTTTCCAAATGCCCAAAAAATCGAAAAAAATCAGATTTTCGTCCAAAAAATTTCTACGGACCTCCCACTCCCATCAATACTTCCGATATGTAATATCCATACGTGCAGTTGCTGTACTTTTTCCTTGACTAGAAACTGAGAAAACGAAAATTTTCGTAATATTTTCAAAGCAATGCTGAGCCGTTCCTGCATATCTGATTCTATACTACAAGCCTAGTTAAGTATAATTGTAGATTTTTAGCCCATTCCGAGCAGTAGTTTTCGAGAAATATCGAAATCAGCTTTCTTCTTTTCAGTTTCAGTGCTAAAAGCGACATTTCTCGAAAACTACCGCTCCGAATGGGTTGAAAATCTACAGTTATACTTATAGTGTGGACCCCGGCCAGGTTCTCGTATGTACCTCCGCGCCGCGCACGCACCGCGCGTCGGGCTGCCCCCTAGGCGCCCTCGTGTTTTCGCGTCCTTTCGAATTTCCAAGCTCCTTTCTTCTTCTTTCTCCGTTCTTTGTGCTTGTACTCTGTATTTTAGGCAAATATGGCAGATAACCGCTGCAACACGCCGTCTCCCTGTTATCCAACATGTTTGAGTGGCTAAATCAGGTAAGACTCGGTCTGCCAGTTGCTGCAGCGGACCCTTCTCTTGAATTTTGCTGAATTCGAGACCGGGTCGCACACATTGTTTGATCAAGACACCTGTTCTCTTTTGTCTCCATACTTCAAATAATTGTAGATGAAAAGATCACAAGTGTGATGGTCCAGATACACGATAAACGTGCTAAACACGAGATCAAGTTTGTTTAGACAAAGTGTGCGACCCAGCGAGTCCTCGGGCAGGACTTGAGGTAACCTAGAAGGAGACTTCAAGAGAAGGGTCCGCTGCAGCAACTGGCAGACCGAGTCTTACCTGATTTAGCCACTCAAACATGTTGGATAACAGGGAAAACGGCGTGTTGCAGAGGTTATCTGCCATATCTTGCCTAAAATGCCGAGTACAAGCACAAAGAACGGAGAAAGAAGAGGAAAGAAACTTAGAGATTCGAAAGGACGCGAAAACACGAGGGCGCCTAGAAGGCAGCCCGACGCGCGCTGCGTGCGCGGCGCGGAGGTACATATGAGAACCTGGCCGGGGTCCACACTATACCTAGGCTTGTAGTATAGAATCACATATGCAAGAATGGCTCAGCATTGCTTTAGAAATATTACGAAAATTTTCGTTTTCTCAGTTTTCACTCAAGGAAAAACTACAGCAGCCGCACATAATGGATATCAGATATCGAAAGTATTGAAGTGTGTGAGTGGGAGGTCCGTAGAAATTATTTGGACGAAAATCTGATTTTTTTCGATTTTTTGGGCATTTGGAAACCTTCGGATTTTGAGTTCGCACATTCCGCGGATCAAGCTTGGCGCAAAATCATGAAAGCCATTTTGTAGAGCTTGCTTTGCTCTATCGAACTATACCCATTTCCCTTTGTTGGGTTGAGTCTGGTTGCTTTGTTAAGGCAAGCAAATAAAAAACGACATTATTTTCTTGACAACCTAATATTTGAAAAAAGTTACTTTTTTCAAAATAAAAGAGAGGAAAAGGCTAGATTGTGCCAATTTCTTCTTTTGACATGCAAAATTGCAGCAATTTCCACGCAAATTTTTGTGCAAGGTAACTTAAAGTTTTTTCTTGTGGTGAATCAGAGGCACAGAAAAGTGTTCACTACCGTAATCCGAAATAATTAGAGGAAAAGTCATAGCTGTTTTGCAAAAGTACTTGCTTGAATAGACATTTAGTCTTATGAATAGGGAACGCATTTTTCGCGTAGAAAGAAATATCATGTCATAAATATCAAATAACTATAATTATGGTGGAAGAGTTCGTTCAAATGTTATTGTTAATTTGGTTTATTATCTAACTTTTATCAGTTTTCCCAATATGTTGAAATTTTAAAGCATTTTCAATGCAACTCGCAATTTTTCAATGAGAAATTCGCTTTCTTACTCAAAATGAATTGTAGATTTCGATTTATGATTATACCTCTTCCATATCTACTTCTTAGCTACCAATTGCAACCATTTTTTACAGCGACGAAATATAGTTTTAGAAGGGCTTTGAATGTTGTTGTAAAAAAATCATAAAAAGAACTCACAGCTACCCGCAAACTTTTTCTTTTTCGAGTGCTCCCCTTTCCTTTCTCCCCCCCCCCCCCTCCCCGCTCCGATAGAAAATTTGATTCCGAGAGGCCTTTGATACTTTTCGCAAACCTTTCTTACCACTGCTGCTCCCCGTTGCTAATCCCTTTTCATTCCCTCTGAGAGGGTAATCCACATTTAAAGCCCCCGCCAAAATTTTCCACGCTTTAATGTCCATTAATTCCTACATTTTATGGCTTTCAGCCTTTCTGCATGAGGTTGCAATGAACTTTGAATTTTGTGTAAAAGGTAATCGCATTAGACGAAATTGCCATGTTTGCCACAGCGCAAATATTTGATTTGAATGGGTTGACGTCATGTACCAGTCTTTTTTTTTTAAATTTTCATTGCCATATTCAAGTGTTCGCGAAGAGGGGGGGGGGGGTCCAAAAAACAGAATAGGAAAAGAGCATGAGATCATTCCTAATTGAAGTAGAAGGTAATCCAATTTGACAGTAACGTCAAGCAGAGTGGCGTGACGGAGCATTTGCGCGTAATTTTTGTGCTAATTATTTCCGCGCGCGACCTACTGTACGTGAACTAATTACAGTTGTCCAATATTTCTTTGTTCAGCGACGATGTGTGTTAGACTTTGAACAGTTGCTGTTGTGGTCTTCGTGTATCTATTTACAAATTTATATACGCGATTTTACAGAAAAATGTTCGCATTAATTGTAGTCTAGAATTTATTTGCTTTTTGTTGTCGTCAAAATAATTTTTTCAGGAATTTTGGCCTTACAGGAAGAATCGTGATGAAAAAGATGACTTCAAAAATCAGTAAAAAATGTAAATTATTTTCAGTACAGATTTCGACGGGGCTCACGAATTTCAGTTGGGGTCCAACTACGAATTTGCAATTTTTTGACAATCCTACTTTTCTCCAATGAACTTTCATTCTTAATTCTTAACCTTTAGAAGTGCAGCTCAAAAACCATTTTTTCGTTCATTTAAATTCTGAATAAATTAGTATTTGGACAATCTAAATGCAACATTGTAATACACTCCCGCAACGCACATCATATCATGAGTATTCGTGCAAGTGTAAATAGGCAAAGTTCAGATTTAAGACGTTCCGTCATTGTCACCTTGAAAAGTGCAGGTAATCTGATGAGAAGGAATGCATATCAGTCTATCCGCACTTTTCCATGTCTTGATCTTTGGTCACACAATTTTGTACATATATGAAAAAACCACTCTGAAGTTCTAATTTGCTGATTTGGTAAGTTATAGTTTAGTGGATGGCGCTTAATGTAGTGTTGTGGTAGAAATGACGGTTATCACAACATTTGCGCGTAAAGAATGACCATGAGGCGACAGACACCTCATTTTACGTGCAAATGTTGTTGACACCGCAGTCACACCATAATGACGCTTCCAAACTGTGCTACTTACCCCAAACACCCTGTTGATCGAAAAAAAATTTTTTGTATGTGCAAGACCCTAATTAGTTTTCGAAATATTATCACCCCATTGAATTAAATGTCAATTTTCACGGAATTTCGGCCAGGGCTTTCAAAATTCTAAAACCCTATCAATTCTTTTCACATCTTACAAAATTTCATCGAATTCTTTCAAAGGTCCATTCTAGATAATCATTTTTTGAACTGTGCAAATTCAGTTAATTTTTCTGCGTCAAGCCAAAGCTAATTAGATTTTTTCTAAACTTTGCGGAAAACCAAAATTTTTGAAATTCTATATTTTGCTCTGCTGATTTTTCCAATTTCGATTTTAACCAATCCTCTTTGTGTTTTTACGACAAGATAATAAGTATAAGAGTCGTTTAGTCCTTCTTAGTCATTCCTCAACAAAATAATTCATTAGCAAACTCACAAGATTACATGCTTGTCATTTCTAATTTAGCTCAAAGCTTTTTTCGACCAATGTTTGAGTAACGTTGCCTGGTTTGTGACGGCTGTGGAAAAAGTTACACAAATGAACTCAAGTACCGTTGATGAGCCGATTTTGATCATGAAAAAATGTAAGTAATGAGTCATACAAAGTTGTGTAAGTAAATACCCGGTCCCGTTCGAGGTAAGTTTGACGAAACAAAACCAGTTAGACTTCAAGAATAGTTTTTAAAGCCTATGAAAACTCTTAAGGGAACACACTGTGTAGACATAGCCTCACTGTGCAAACTCGAGCGAACTCGGAAAGTTTTTTAGTTTACTCACTTTTTTCCTTGTTGATTGTCTCAGTCTTGAGCTTAGTCGACTTATCATGATTTCACTTGCATCATTTCGTCATGTTATTTCCATTTTATTTGATTGTTTAATCCTGTTTGTCCAATTATTGCAGAAAATTGTGTTGACCCTTATCTCACCTCTTCCTTATGGAGAAAAATACCGATATTGAACATGGGCCACTAATAGGAGGGATTCAGTAGATCTGGGTTTGGCCATAAATTTTTTGGATGGATTTTACAATCTTATACTCAGCTCGCAGAAGTGAAGTTCTTTTTCAGCATAATCCAAGTGGATATACGGTGGGTATACGGTGAACTATTGTAACCTGCCGTATGCATACCGTATCTCTAAGGACTACAGTTATGTGATACCAAATGTGGCCTCACGATCTAAATGTAAATCCAAGCAACATTCCATAGTTGATCCATTTGATCCTCTTGGTCTACTTGGTGCACTCCACAAAAGGTCAAATTAGTAAGCTGACCGATAGCGAAGTGGATGAAGTGGATGAATGGTTCAAGCGGATAACCACTTGGCTATTAGCCAGTTCACTAATTTGACCAATAGCGAAGTGGATCCAATGGATCAACTATGCCATATGCCAAATGTTACTTACAAGAATTCATCTTTTTGTTCCATTCCTTTTTTACGTTTTCCAAATGTCAAAATTACCATCCAGCAATCCAAACAAAGCTTCGAAAACCTCATATTCTCGCAAAGGACGCTCTTTGAGTTCTCTATGCTTCTTTGCAATGCATTGTTCATTTTTACGATGCTTGAGCGATGAAAATTGCTCTTTTGCTGCATCCTTGGTGCTCTTTATGTTGCCAATCTCGCAATTTGACATCGATTTTCTCGCAATTTTCCGGCATGCTTTGAAATTTTCGAGAAATATTGCAGCTTTTCAGTTTAATAACTGCTTGCAAAGAACGATAGAAGTGATTTTCGGACAACTTCACGAGTTCAGATCAACCCGTCGACGGCAAGCGCAGAATAATGTATCGTGAATCGATGGCGAACGGCTTCGCCGCTACGGTTCTCTTCTTGATATTCCTGTTTCTACTGGCCAGGTAGGAGACGAACATCATCATCGGGGAGTTAATTGACAGAAAAAAATGAGTGGGGAACGTTATGCCTTGATTTATGGAGTTATCTCGCTGATAAGAGAGACCAGCTATGCATATCAAAGACCGGAACTTTGGCAGGAGGTTTGGGGGAGTGAGCGAAAACTTTGGGTAAAATTGCGCCCGTTGAGAAAGGAGTATAGCTTTGAATAAGGGGAGAGGGCCGTTTTGCATTACAGTATCCAGCAGCTTGTCTTAGCACGACGCGCACGGCGGCGGTCCGTACGGAAATCCCAGACTGTTACGGTAGTGCGAACTGGCCTGTACCTTTGAATGATATCATTAGCCTAAAAATACCAATCAAGCCTCTATATTTTATCTTTTTTTAACTTTTTGGATTTTTTGTGTTTAATTTTTATTACTCAAAGGGATACATAATATCACCTCTTCCCAATTTTTCCCTCTTCCTTCAAGTTATTTTTTCTCATCCATTACATCCCATTCTACGCTAGTTCCTATACAGTGCTATCAAAATCTTTGATCGACCTCCCCTGCCCATAACCCCGCTAAACTCTCTTTAAGATAAAAATCTACATGCGTCCGTTGCGTTACCATCGCCCCGCTGACCCTCCCTTCATCATTGAATTTTTTGGGTACTATATAGGGGCTTTGTAGCGAAAATTTACGATGTAAAGTTCACAAGAAATTGTTCTTTGTAGTAAGAATGAACGGCCTCTTGAAAATTTTACAACAGCAAGATTCCAAGTAAAATGTGATGTCCAAAAAAATTGCGCACAAGTTCGTGACCAGAACAGAGTTTGATTAAGGAAATCGTCACAATACTTTGACATATCTCCCTCTATTCTGCATTGTATGCTAGTTTTTTTTATTTCAATTTTTGACAGGTTTCTTTACTTGCAGCCTATGTAGTTTGAGCTTGTGTAATGATGAGGATAGGGAGATTTTTTTATCGCGGTTTATCTTTTTTGATGAAACGATATAATGGAGTGAACCACAAAATAGAATCTTTGACTCTTCTCAGCTATTTTTGACGAGTAATTCCCTACAAGAGATTTTTTGGGCGTAGAGTTTGAGAATTGAAGGCAGCGTCCAGGCAAGTCTGGACACATGGGGATCTCACGTGGATAGTAATTTTGGGGCCCTAACTAAGCCACTGCCCAACCTGCAGCTCAGGTAGTGCTCTAACGGCTGAGATATTCCTTTCGAAACTGGACCCCGCGATCGTATTCCTCATTGATTCATGGCGCAAAGCGTGGATCCTGGCGCGAAACTGCCATGAATCCATGCGAATACGATCGCGGGGTCCACTTTCTAGGGGAATATCTCAGCCCTTAGAGTACTACCTGCGCTTCCGTTTGGGCAGTGCCTTAGTTAGTGCTCCAAAAGTACTTTCCACGTAAAATCTTTATAGGTCCAGATCTGCCTGGACGCTGCCTTTAAGTGTATCGAAAAGAATAGTATAGAGTAGTATTTTACAAAATAAATCTGGTCAATAAATAGTCTGATTGGCGTAATTTAACCTAAAGTGCATGTACCAATGATGATATTGCACCTTTTTGGGAGGAATGATGCTATTTATTACAATTTCAACATTACAGGATTTGAGAAATTGCTCCTTAGATTGACATTTTTGAAGTTTGTAACTCCATATCAATTTTTTGCTTTCATTCGCACGGACTTCAAGAAACTGATTTTTTTCTTTCGAATTGAAATCAAGTTTACTTATCTACATCTATCGGACATGAATGTTTCGCGATTTTCGAAAAACTCCATCAAAATGACTCATAAAATGTTTTTGACGCAACAAGAGTATTTCTGTTCTAATAAACGTGGGAGATGGCGTGCAAGTGATTAATTGGCGTTTAGATGAAAAGATGATTTTGCTTTTTGTTATACAAAGGTGCAGAAGAAAGAGGGTGGGGAAAAGGAAGAAGAGCTTGGTACTGAGTCGTGTAACTTCTTCTTGTTTTTATAAATTTTTTCATTCATTAATTGTCCGAACAGAAATCGCTCTATGGGGTCAAAACGTCTGCTTGTAAAGCAAATAAAATCATGCCTGTTTTCGTCCTTGTGTTTTGTTACCCCTGTATTTTTATTGAACAGTCAAAAGTGCATTGTTACGGCTGCCTACATGATTCAAACATCAAAAACAAAGCGCTAATGAGACTTGATGGGGACGATTTTCGATTGATTATTTCCTTAGAAATCCGAAAAAAATTTGCCGTAACCTAAGATTTTTGGACGAGCTGGCGCATAAATATTCATTGAATATCTAGGCAAACATACGTAGACTCACACTTTCGATTTTTTTCGCTTCCTTAAGAAGACTTTTCCAAATATATTCCATCGATTTCACAGCAATGATTTTTATTGATTTATTGATTCCAGGCACGTTCGAAGGATGCGAACTGTAGATGATGAACTACCGACAGTAAATCCAGCCGCTGCTCTACCACCACCATATGCAATGCCGCCACCTCCTACTTACTCGGTAAGTTTGATAACCAAGCAATTCTGACAGTTATTTTAGGCTGCTGCGGTACTGACAACATTTGAGCGTAAACGGTGACAATGTGCGTTCTATGGCAGTTTTTCAAGCCACAAGGGAGATTACGGCATTTACATGCACCGTTTATTTACGCACAAATGTTGTCGACACCGCAGGCACTATTTGAACAGTCGAAATCACCGATGTTTATGTGTATATCAATGCAAATGTACATTTTTATGCTGAACTTCAAGCAACACTATTTTAAAATTTATTCCAATAATAATCAATTTTTAAAGTTTTACTTTTTTATTTCTACTTTACTTTCATTTTACTTTTCCAACTCTTTTACAAATTCATTTTTTAGCTTCTTTCCGTATTTTCGTTTGGAAGTTCGAAATTTCGGATTTACCTTAAAAAACGTTTTCTATGCTTTCCCATTCAATATAAATAAAAAAACTCTTACAATTGCACCCAGCTGAGACTCTGTTTGAAAAGGGAAAATTCAAGGATTCTTTGACATTTCCAAAATCTGAAACCTCTAAATTCAAAGCTTTTTTTGATTGATAATTTGTTTGGATATTATGCCTATGCACTTTTAGACCAATGCCTCAGAGCCCTCCAGCTTTCCTCCTCCTCTTCCCCCCCCCCGCTCCCCGACATCCTATCCTAATCGTCTCAATCGAAGGGAGCCCATATCCTTACGTCGTATTCATGATGTGCGCAAGGTTTTGCGCGCAGCCACCGGGGGTTTAGGGTCATTTCTAGTCGCGCTGGTTACGATGTCGCCGTCGAAGCGTTAAATTGGATAATTAGCCATGTGGAATTTCGCTTTTCGACCATCGACGACTTGAATTCGGAAACGCAACATTTCAAGGGTCTTGGCGCTTTTTATTGTGTCCTAAGCAGTTGTTTTAGTGCTTTAGAATGTGCACAGACATATTCTAGGCAAGCCAATGACTCATTGGGGAAGGAGTGGGAGGGGAAAGGGGGGGGGGGGGAATAATTAGAAATGTGTGCTATTGTATTCAATACTGAATACCGAGTCTCATCACTTTAGAACACTTCGTTTTACATTTTTGTAAAATAATCATACGAAATTCAATCCCCCCCCCCCGAGTGCTCTTTGAATGTTTCTGTGCATAAAGATTTTTATTTGTTTTTTTTTGCAATTTTTGTTTTTGTTATTTGTATCAATCATGCTGCAGTTCAAAAAAGGAGAATCTATTCTAGGGACCACTCTCGATCAATTATTATCTTGAGAGAATCAGAAAGAATTTGTCATAAGCTGAGATTCTTTGGATGAACTTGCGGCATTATTCAAAAATCTAGAACCTACTTCATCATAATGGGGTGATTCGACAGCAATTTTTCTACAATTCAGCAAAGACAGGATTTTGAAAACTAGTGGAGCAGCAACATACTGCTTTCTTTCTTGGTTTTTGTGACTTCGACAAAAAACTTTGGGGGAAATTCTGGAAAAATGATACAGTAATGATTTTATTTCTTTTTTTTTGAATAAGCACAAACTGTTTGAAAAACTAAAAAAATTTCTGAGATGTCACCCGTGTTATTGTAATCTGCGCTGATGATCGCGAACTCTTTGTAGAACATCTTTGTTGTTCCATTTTCGTAAATAACAATCAGAGAACAAGATGCAATATATTACCTTTTAAGGGACAATCAAACTCAAATTAGAAACTAGATTGATTTTTGTGTGAATGTACGATGGAAAATGTACAAATTTAGCTAGTTTTTCAGATCAAAAATTAATGGAAAAACCTCCTCTTTCTTCAAAATTAATAACGTGTAAAAGAGCTCATAGTAAAAACCCTTTTTGGAAGAGCATTCCTATTTTAAATAATTATTTGACAAAAAGGAGGTAATTTTGAATTTCTATATCTTTGCAAGCAAAACTTAACTTCTTTTCCTTCGAGATTATAAAAAAATGAATTCCCTCTGCAATCAGTGCATTAATGGCTGTGAAAGGATCACTAGACATTCTCGACGATCAACTTCTTACGCTCGCAAAACCGGTTAATAAGGTTCTTTATGAACTGCTTTAATCCTTGCGGGGTTTCTGGGATTATTAGGGAACAAGGGGATAAAAGAAACTTGGGTGAGCTTTTTCCAAGTAAGTTTCGTTGAAATAAATCTGTCCACATAAGATTTTCAACTTATGAATGAACCTTGGCCCGAGCAAGACATGGTCTTTTCCGTAATACGCTTAATAACGTTAATTTTTATTGAAAAAAAATTCTCAGGCCTCACTTTGCCACTCGTAGGAAAACTCTTAGAATTATCTATGCAGTACCGTACTAACTCTCTCCAGAACTTCGACCCATTCTTGTTTAGAGTTTTTCGAACACAAAGAAAGCGTGTTTTTTGACAGTTCTGACTGTGTGTTTGGTTCTTTGTCAATCAGCGAGCGACATTGTTAGTGGCACGAGCGAGCGACCTCCACGGGTCGCTTTCGTCCTCTGTCAAACAAACGCTGCCAGCTTATTTCAAGGGGTAAGGGGGGGGGGGGAGACTGGGGGAGCGGTATAGTGAGGGAGAGGAAATATTCAAAAGCTCTCTTGAATAAACCCTGACTTTTTGCTGAAAAATGTGAGAGCTTGTAGGGTTTTATAAAAATTTTACATATCGCAAAAATATAATTTGAAAGGCGAGGCGTTTCGTACAACCCCTGGGTTGAATGGATTCAAAATCAATTTTCAAAAGCTTAACGATTTTTCCTACTAGAAGTTTCTGCAAAAATGAGGGGGGAGGGGGGAGGACGACGGAACACTTTTCAAATGACTCCCAAAAATGCGAAAATTTTCAAATTTTTTCGCGTCTCAACCCCAGAAAGTTGAGAAAGGAGATGTGGCGGTGCAGAGAAGTCCGAGGTGATTTTTTCGAAGAGTAATTTTTCCACAAAAAAATCAAGTTGTTCACAAAGGAAAGTCACCCCATCATTTTCAGTCCGCCACTGCTTTCCTGTATTCATTCCCCCCCCCCCCCCCTGCTATTTCAACGGCAAATTCTTTAGAAACTAGATCTTTGGATACAAACGTTAAATGTCCATAACATTGCTATGCAGGCACAAAGTCTTGCGTCCGCTGCAGCGACGTTTTTTGAGCTGACGCTCCTAGCAGAAAGACAATGTAATTAGGAAATACGCAGGCGGTCAGAGCATTGCTGCAGAGAGGCCGCAGAGCATGCAATTTCTGCGTCGGTAACTTCACCTTAGTCGTTCACCTACCAAAAGTTTTTTGTTTAAATTTTTTACATAATGCTTTCTCATTTGGATTTTTCAAATTACATTGTCACTAATCAATTTTTTTGATATTTTTTGATTTTCGTTTTTTTTCAGTTTCAGTTTCAATGGAGTTCCAATTTTGAATCAAAAAATAGTCCATCATTTTCTGTTTTTTTCTAACCTGAATTCTATTCCTAAGTACATTTTTCAGGAAGCCGTGAAAATGGGCCAAGCAGGCAAATATTGATTGCGACTCGTGATCTACGCGTACCTGGTAGCGTCTTCTCCGTTCCAGCATGCTGACGATGCATATCGGTAAACCACTGTAGCAGACGTCCACCCATCGAGATCAACTCCTCATGAGTGCATCCTCAAATGAAATATATATACTGTATCAATGTAATAATAATGATAAAGGTGGCTCTAGATGTATAAGAATTCTGTATTCGCGCGCCTACGACCAATCGATTATCGATTAGTTCGCGTCCTATTGTGCCTTGTGGCCATTTTTTATGTACACGGTAACTCGGTAATTTTTCTTTTTTTCTTTTTTTGTAGATTTTCGCGTCTTGCCACTTATGAGTCTTACTTGACGGGTTATATTGTATGAGAATTTGTTTTCTGACGAGAAAAATAAATGTTTTGAAATTTAGTCTGGTTTCATTGTTTCCTAATTTGGCTCGAAGCTTCCTTACGTTTGTTTAGAATACTAAGCGCGCCTTAGATGGAATTTGTGACATTGCACCATGACTCGAATAATAGTAGCACAAGCTACAAAACGTAGGCACGATATTGCCACAAAAATTTCACTTGTAATTTTTTTTCAAAAATAATAGATTGCTAAGTGAGTGGTTCGAGGTCTTATGGATTGTTTAGAGGCTTGGAAATTTCAGATTCTTTCGAATGAAACAATCATTGACTTACTGTGCTGCCCGAGACGATCGTGCTGAGCGTGTTCTTCATGCTTCTCATGCTGAAAAAATAGCGAAAATATTACGTCCACTAAATTCTCAAAATGCTATAATACTTATTCAGTTTATGCTAGTTTTATGGAAATGGAAAATCGAACAATTAAGACTTTTGCCATTTACAAGTTTTTATTTTTATCTCATGCGCATGGTCAATATCTAGTTGAAACTCGTGAAAATATAGCAAACAATTAAATACGTTTGCAAAATCGAAAAGTAAAAATGCTACCAGAAATCATATCGTTTGTGAAGACATTCAATCGACATGAATTTAGTCAAGAGTAGAATAAGAAACCAAAAAAAAGCTGGAGCCAAGTATATTGGACCATTTAGAATTTTTAAGGTTTTTTAAAAGTTTACAACTCAAATTTTCCTATCAATTAGTATCTCTGCGATACGCCAATTTTATCATGAATTATCGTGAAACCTATTTTCTTCTGCTTAAAATTCGAAGAGAATAAACTCGTCAAAACTGAGAATCACAAGATTTCGAAGATTTTGGTGTAAGTCTTGGGAAGGTGTATACAGGGTGTCCCAAAAGTATGTATGCACTGTTTGATCGTTAATTTGAGCAATGAAAGGCCATATTTTGCCTCAGAAATGAAACAAAACAGCCTGAAAGCTTTTACACTAGGCTAACTAGAGTTGTTGATTTTAACTGTAAAGTTCCCAACTTATTACGATGCTTCATTGAAGAGTTATGCCGGGTAAGAGGTAGCGGCCATTTTTTCAATGTTCCTAAAAAGTGCGGTTTCACCGTTTAGGAAGCTTCGTAATCTTGTGAATAGCTGATTATTGAACTCAGCGTCCATAAAAATACACAAGTTTTCACATTTTTTTGAAAAATTTTGAAACGGCAGCTTTTTCCACATTGACACCATATGTTTCAAGTTTCTACCGTAATCCTACAGTAATGAAGAGAGGTGGATGATTCGTTCTATAAATCTAAGTTGAAGCCAGCTCTACAAAACGTTACCTGAAGCAAGGCAAAAGACTTCTTGGGAAGAGAGATATTAACGATCAAACATTCGATATATTTTTTTGGGACACCCTGTATATTGCTTGTTCTTGCGCGGAGTAGCAACTTTTTTAGAACGAATTTTATCAATAAGAATATGAGTAGTCAGATTTTGTTTCGGATACTTTTTGCCCAATGCTAATTTCGTCTGGGAAAAAAATCTTTGAAAAAACTAGCTGACTCAAATCTTTCCTTTTCTTCGTGATGCTACCATAATTCACAAATCGTGTGATACGGTATCCGCGATGTCTGTCATGGTTACTCGCCTTTGCCTGGCGGCATCGTAAATTTTCAATCACCATTTCGAAAGAAGACCTACCGCAGCGTTATCGGCGCAAAATCACCCTGATTGTGATTTGGCTACAAATCTTTACACGCGGGATCCGTGATGGTGGTGTTTTATTCCATTTTTGGCGAGGGGGGGGGGGAGAGGAAGGAGATAGAAGAAAAGATAATCTTTGAGTTTTATCAGAATTTGTAATTATTTTTCAAATAACTTTGAGATTTTTTGATAATGAAATTTTCCATACCTTAATGTGAGGCATAACTGGATGATGTTTTCCGTGGTATAGACCATGCTTTCTAGCCAGTTTTATCCTGAAAGAAGTTGATAACATCTTTCATTTGGAAGACCCATGAAAACGTTAAGAAGCCCAACTTACAATTTTTGCTTTGAAATACATTGTGGCTCGCCATTTTTCACCACACATACTTCAGATTCTTGACATTTTGCGGCAATGCAGAGTGGATCTGCAAAATCACGTCATTCCAGTCGAAAAAAATTCAGATATCATTTATCTATGAGAATCAGGCAACTATATCACAGTCTTGACTGTTGCAAAGAATTTTTCTTTATATGGGTAAGAAAAAGGAAGGGTTAGTATCGAAATTTCTTATGGATGTAAATTCACAGTCTCTCGGCCTCTCTCCTGGATTAGCCTCTCTCTTCTGGATTTTTTGGAAGTATCCCAAACTCTTCGCAGGCTCATTACCTCAAACTGAACAGAAATTCTCGATATCAACGATATTCTGGACTTTTTGTACGCAGGTTCAGTTTTTAAACAATCATAGTAAAACTATTTACAATTGAAAAAAGTCACTTATAATTTTGAAACACATCATGTAAGAGTTGGTGCATATTTTTTGGAGGAGGACACGAACCGTTTCTCGAGTTGATAGAAGATTTTATTGAGATGATACCACAGAAACTCCCGACTTTCATTACAGTATAAAGCTGCTGTTTACCAAATATTTATAGAAAAAAGTTCTTGTACTCCTACAAAGTTTTTTTTTTGAAATTTCTTAGCCGCGCATACTATGCATGAAGTTGATTCGCCTATAAAAGGACAGAAAAAGCATAATTTTGCCGCAATTTTTGCTTTTTTCGTTTTTTGGCATAAAAACTCAAATTATTAACACACTGTTAAACATAATAGATTAGAGGGAGCTCCCATAAGAAGATAGAAAAAATTCGGGTTTTTCAAGTTTTGATTGACTATAATCAAAGGTCTTTAAATGTCCACGATCTCGTATGTGGCAGCCAATTATTATGAACGGCTTTGTTCAGAAAGCGGTCGCGGTTTACACTGATCCATTGCGACCAGATGCTTCCAGTCTATTGCGACAGCAATAACAGATTTTGTTGTAATCGTAGTAGATTAGAAGATTCCTTTGATGACCGAAGCAAACAAAGTTGGAATACTAGATGCGAAGAAGGAAATGTATACATTTATAGACTGTTTTTGAGAAAAAGGGAAATTATCTTTAATTATTATCGATTCGGTAGAGCATTACTTGAGAAAAATTTTATTTGAATTATAAGAAAAACATGAAATGTAGAATTTTTATGGTGGTTCTGAATTAAATGTTAATCTGCGCAACTTTTTGTAGACCACAAGCCTATTCATCGATTTTTTTTATTTCTTTAAAATTCTGCATAAATTCGAATCTGCTAAGTCAGTGCAAATGCTCCTCACCCAGCTTGAAATGTGATACAGTAGCCTTTTTGTCTCCTCCTTGAAAACTTCTGACTTTGAACGTCGTCGCTTTGCAAGACCTCCAGCTTAGAGATCGATTTATCGATGCATTGATTTGTTATTTACAGGAATATTGGAAGTGCGAACTTGCAAGAAAGTCTTCTCACAGTATGCCGTAAATCCGGGAAAAGCGATGAGTGTTTGAGTGATTCATACAATAAGCAAGGAAGTTCTGCGTTCGCTGCAGCTGTAGTCGTATTACAACGGTAGTCTTACAATTTTGACGTGAGATATGGGGTACGGGAAGGGGGGGGGGAATTGGATGGGAAATCAGGAAAATTTTTGGTAATGGCACAAGAGTGAAGGAATTAAGAGTAATTCTGAGTTTGTAAGCGGGTGAGAGACCATGTTCCATGGAAGGGGGGGGGGGAGGTGAAGACGGTTCTCAAAAGATGCCTCGAATTTCTTCGTTTGAGGTGAACTGGCACACAAATTAGAAGGATTTGCTACTGAAATGTTGCAAAAGGTCCATTTTTGGTTTAAGATGTAGCAGTTAGAGTCTCATATCAGACTTTTTCGCTGTGGCTGCGCAGTAATAACCAGTTGATTAGTATTCCGGAGCCAAAATTATTGACTTACCAGTTTTAGGACGAATCTCGGTATGGGCCGAAACAAAAGCTACCAGAAAGAGCAGCAGTCCAGCAGCAGCCACTCGACAGCCGGTCATTCTCCGAGACTGCTACCTACGACTACGAGCAACATCGATTGATGCCCGTCGGGGCTCAGTGAGTAATTGAAGCTGCTAGAAATATATCGTAGTCGGGGAAAAAGTTTCCAGAGAAGCATAGGTTGAAAAGTCTTGATCTCGCATATACTAGTCAATTTTTTTCATGAACTGGTCAAGTACAATAGAAAAAAATAGTACTTATACTCCTGCACCTGCGGAGTATGTAGTTATGCTTATGGGCGGAGCTTAGTGTTTTTGGGGGCGGCGTTTGCCAATTCCTGTCCACATTTTTCTTGATTTCCAAGAATTCCATAAACATGTCTAAGTGTGCACGTTCCTTTGTTTCGCGAGAAGAAATGAGGGTTTTGTATGACGATCAAGTCCGAGGGGCTCAAACCATGGTCGTGAAATAATAAGGGAAGTGACATTGGTAGAAGTGCCGTTTGCATAAATATATGCTTTTTTACGGAGCACAGAGCATGGAACGCTGATACCAAATTTGATTTCGATATCTGCAAGGTGGCGCTTGGAGAGAAGCTATGGGAATTTCTCGAAGCAAAAACTTGAACATTCGCTACAATAAAAATTGAGCATTGTAGTTCGTGAGCTGAAATGGGCCATGATTGCTGCCAGGGCGCTATATGCAGTCAATACCTTTAATCTATGACTTATGCCAGTCATTACTGCTCTCAAACCCGGATAGACACCGTTTTTACCTTAACCCAAATTTTTGAATTTATTTCTGTAAAAATTCCCATAACTCCGTTCGCAGGCTTTGCAAACAGAAAAACAGATTTGGAATCAGCGTTCCATGCTCTATATCATGGCATACATTTCATATGGAAACTCTCGACCAAGTACCTTTCACTTGTAAGAGCGCTGGACAAGGACTATATGTCGCCGAAGGGTGAGATCGGACATTTGCTACAAGTACAATACATACCACTTTCACAAATACAATACCGCTCGTGATTTGTGAAAAAAATTGGCGGCGGCACCTAACTCACGCGGCGCCGCCGCAGTTAGGCGGCAAGTGCCGTGTCGCGCGACAAAGTTAGGCGGAAAAGCGGCACTTGCCGCCTAACTTTGTCGCGCAACGCCTAACTTTTTTTTTATAAAAAAGACCTTATCTTAATTCAAAATTTGTGAATTCTATATATAAGAGTACCATTCAACTCAGCTCGGCGTGGCGCATCTTCCAGTATACAGATGTGCCTAGTTGTGGGATATAAGTTTTTTTCCTGAAATTTTAGTGTAAATGGATCATTCAGTATGCTGATTCCAGAGGCTACATACACATTCTGTTGAGCACTGAGAAATAGTGCAGGTATAGTTTAAGAGCTCATTCTGCATAGATATGTGTGAAACTGGGTTTTTCTCGGCGAAGTATGACGAGTCCCAAAATGCAGGAAGACAAAGGGAAACGGTTGGAAATCGCATGAGAAGCACATGTCGCGGAATGCCGCGCACGCTGTGCAATGTACAATACCACCCGCAGAACGGGCATTTCGCGAAATTCCAGAAATTTCACGATTCCGGATTATGGCAAATTATGCAGCGCCATAACTTCCTTCGGAATGAATATATTCTAAATTCGAAAGCAGCAGTGTGTTCAGCTCGTCAAGGCGAATCTTTCAACATACGTCGTGTCATCTATATCTTGTTTCCAGTTTTCTCAAATTTTTCTGAGGAGGTCCCTTTGCAAGTATGTAACGCAGCGCCTATCCAACATGAAAGCTTCCAGTAAGTACCATTCGATAGTGCTCTTCTTGTACATTATAGTGCGCTGAAAGCTGTTGCGACTTCTTTCCAAAAGAGAAAAAAGCGTTGGTAAATTCTGGAAAAATCACTCCTTTCCAGATTCTCGCCGTAACTTTCTTTGGAGTGGATTCTGAATTGAAAAATGCATTGTGCTCAGCTCATCAAAGCAAATCTTTCGGTACGCAGAATGTTCTTGATGTCTTGATTTCAGTATTCTTAAAACTTTCTGCAGACGTCTCTTCGCAAAGGTGTGAAGCAGCGCGTATTGCCCCCAGTAGATTCAAAGAGAAATTTTTGATAGTACTTCTTCTGTAGATTATGGGGCGCTAGAAGTTAGCCGCACACTTTTTTTCCAAAGGAGATAGAAGAGCTGGTGAATTCTGGGAAAATCATGTTGTTCTAAATTTTTTTCAACGTAACTCTAAAATATGAAGCTCTCTTGCGAAGCACATGTGATTTTCGTAATAAGCAGGTCGGATAACGCTTATGAGCAAGTTTTCCGCGATATTGGGCTAATTTCATTTTTTCTCGTTTTAAGCTTTGAGGCTGGCCGATGGATTTTGGTCAAAATGTTCATGCTCTTAAATTGTAAGGAAACTTCGCTTATAGAGGTTTTCGAACATCTTCACGAAAATCAAGGTCTTTGAGGATTACAGGGTCTTTTTGGTGAGATACGGTGAGGTGACTGTAACTGAATCACGAAAGTGCGTAACTTTGCCCGCACTTTTCGCGTAGCTGTCAAAAACTTGCTTGCTTGCTCGTCCAAGTCAAAGTTAGTAGGAACTGTGCTACCGAATGGTGCATGACTCAGGCTTCAGTCTATAAAATTCGCCGAGTTACGAGCTTACGAACACATCCTGATGAATTTTGCCCAAAATGTAAAGATCGCAAGATCGCATGTTTCGTCGAAATTCAACCGTGAATGCTTATGCAGCACGTTGATCAAATTTTTTCACATCCTTAATGGATCTTATTGTGTTAGATTTCGTAGTTTGAGTTCTAGCTACTGGAATAGCTTTGATATTCAACTGAGCAGCTAAGCATACGCAAGTACCATTTCAATACAGTGGGAGTCTTTGGGCGAAGCGAACACAATGCTCGCAATGCGAGTGACTGTTTACAGAAAAGGTTTCAGCCCTTGAGAAGCAGTGAGTGCGAAAAAATTTAGATGCTACTCTCACAAATTCAGATGCGATCCTAAAAATCAAAAACTGAGGTTTTTAAGCTTGAAAATTTGTAACTCATCGGAGAAGTAATGAAACGGCGTGAAATTTTTAGGATGGAAAGTAGGAAAATGGCCTCGTGTTACAGCAAACTCCGAAAAAATTTAGATGCGACCCAGATACGACCCCCCTTTCGTCATTTTTTGCCACCTTACATAAAATCATAAGAAAATCCGAAGGCTATAAAGTAGGAACAAATTTTGCACAAATGTAGTAGAGCACCTCTAAAGTACATATAAATTGTAAGGACCGTATGAAAAGCATTACAAACCGATTTACAAATTATTGGTTAGCGTTCATAGAGATATGCTCTTTTTTCGAGTGTGTGAGTCTTCAGTGAGCCTTCGGAAGCAGGACTTCTACACCATTCGGTACATCCAACATCTTTATCACAAATCCATGCCTTAAATAGCATTTGAGCTTCTAAAAGTATTTATTTTTAAGTTTTAGTCATGCCAGCAGGGTTCGACCCGTTTGCGACATTGTCTTGCGGGAGAAATAGTGTTTCCATAGAAAAAAATAAACTAACAAGGAATGCTTGTTTAGTCGAAGTGGCCTTTTTTGATGTGATGTACATCACATTGTAGAGCATAAAATGCTGATTCCAAAACTGTCTTCCGTATCTGCAGAACGTTTATGGACGAGAAGTTATGAGCGTTTTTTGGAGTCAAAAATTGAATGTGCAAGTGTTACAAAAATAACCGTAATACTTTTTCTAGCTCTTCAATGGAGCAATAATAATTACCAGAACATTTCACATGAAAACTACTCTAAAATAAAAATTATACCACCCTTGGTTACGTTATTTGAAGGGTAGTAAGATTTTAACAACTCATTTTATTCAAAATGCACATTCAATTTTTGGCTCCGAAAAACGCTCATAACTTCTCTTCCATAAACGTTCTGCAGATAGGGAAAACAGTTTTGGAATCAGCGTTTTATGCGCTTTAATAGGGTGTACATCTTATTTGGAAAGGCCACTTCGACTAAACAAGCTTCCCTTGCAAGTCATAATCCTTCAAAAGTGCAGCGAATGAAGCGAATTTCTACGTTTGCAAATGTTTTCAAATTATTGTCCGTTTTGGCTTGATACATTGGTACACGGCATTCCATGAATTTATTGTTAAGAACATGTAATAATTGCCATTCAATTTCCTTTCATGCTTTCGGTTTTTTATCCAAACTACCTCCTCTTACGACCCCCCCCCCCTCTCACCGCTACCCCGCCTACGACCCCCAGTTGCGATAGTCGCATCACACGCTTGACCCTGGTGTAGACCGCTAACAACTTCATTTTGCCTCAAAACTCCAAAAGTTCTCAAAATTCACTAGTTTTCGAAAATGCCTGAAATTTTTCTAATTTGTATCAAAGTTCGAACGGTTTATGAGGGTTTGTAGCTTACATTACGCACTACATACTGCCAAAGTCAGTGCGCCACATTCGAAGAGAATTGAGTTATGGAAGTAGTTGCAAAACTTGGTTTCCAGCCTAATGTTGCCAAGAGGCTACACATAAGAAGAAGTAGTCTGCGCTAAATCCGAATGTATATTTACTTCAAGTTCTGTTAACGGAAGACAACTGCAACATTTTGAAAGGTATTCTTTGAAATTGACCGAGATCTTGTAAGCAGCTGAAAGACGAGGTTCTAGCAATAAGAAATGCCGGGGGACATCAGCGAGTGTCTTGTCTTGCTACCCATTCCTGATAATATCGACCCCGCTCTCCCAAGATTGGAATGGGAATGGATTATCAGGAATGGGTAGCAAGACGAGACTTTGCGTTGGAAATCTCATGCCAAACGCATAGAAGCGACCAGTTTGTTGTGGAAGTTTAAAGTGATATTATTTTCAATCAACGGTCCTTTGGTCTTCATCGATATGCCTTTCGCTTCTGAGCGACTACGTTCCCTGTGAGGCCTGCATTCGTTGTGAGGATCAACACTAGGACAGTCTTTGAGAGCAGTAGGGGTGGACAAACTCCCTGCCTGTTTGTCGCATGACCAGCTTTTTTTAGCGTGTTTTTAGGTTAGGAAATCGTACATGAGTCAGACGAGATCAACTATCATAAGCACCATGTATAGTAGTACAGCACTGTTTGCTATCGCAGCCAGACTATGGAAGGATTCACAAAACTGGGAGACAAAATTCGGCAAAAGAGAAAACTCAAAAAAGAACTACCATTTAGCCAGGTGGCGGTGGTGTAAGAAGGGAAGGAGGAACAAACGATAACACTGAATACATTCGACTAGTGATATCCTTTTTGATGATTTTCGGGAGCGTTATCAAACCGTCTGAAGCCTAAGGCATACCGCGATTTCTTCTTGAGGAATATAACCGCGTTGGACCGAATAGATCAGCTGGTCAATTCGGTCTTCAAAAATGCCTGCTTATGTGGTTGAAATTCTTCTGCTACTTTGCCAGAGAGACAGTTGTACTTTCTCGAGAGAGCATGAATTTATACATGGAAATCGAATACGACTTCCTTTTAAAGTTTTGTCCGATTTTTCATAAGAGGCGAACTTTCCAACAGATTAAACAATCATTTGTTACACCAATTCTAGCAAGCTATTTCGTAATAGTTCCATAAATTTTAGTTCCGCATTCAGTAATATTTTAGCATCGCTTTTAGTCAAAATACATTCTGTAGAGGCAGATCAGTTGAAACAGCTGTGCTAAGGGGCATGTATGTTTGCACCGTACGTCATCAAGCGGACTATGTACATCAAATTTTTTGCGGAGCTTCCAACAGAGCTATGACCATGTTGCTTGTCCAATGATGTGTAAATATTGGCTGCAGTCTAGAACATTCTACTCAGACGAACATATATCAATAACACTCAAAAACCCTTCAAGTCCTTGCTAAGAAATCCCTTTATACCCTCCTCCTTATTCTTTTGGTTCAGTTAGTATTATTGAAGCCAAATATATAAACTGATGTGTTTAGACAAAACTAATTTAGAAAATTAAGTTACCCTGAGAGTCCAGTATGAAATCAGTTGCCCTGTGGTTAATCGCTGGGCTCAGTTCAAACAAACTGGTCTACGAAACTTACCAACAAGTTACCCACTTCTGAGAGCCTTAATTTTACATTAATCTCCGATCCTGACTAGTCAGGAATTTAGGAACTCGATGTTTCCTTGATTTTGGATTTAGTACAAAGAGACTTAATCGAGCCTTAAGAACGCAGGAATTTATAAAACTAATAAAGAAGGGTACTTGACTCTCTAGTAGAATAGTAATCACTAGTTAGACGTGAAAGCCTCATGGCCAAACCCATTTATGTTTGAGTTCCGTGTTAGGAGATCATTTCCATACTTCAACAAAATGCTGGTCTAGATGCTCTCTAACACGTTTCGGACCGTGAAATCGCGCGCGGCGAAAAAGAGTGCACTTTCAGCGTTAGCCAACAAAAGGACCTTATTTCGTAGACTGTGTTATATCTGTAAGCAGCTTGTCGGATAAGTTCCATACCCAAAGTTCTGAGTAGATTGAAAGCGTTCAAAATTTGTCGCTTATGAAGGATTTCTGTGCTTTCCTGAAAGATAGGAACAAGAGCTCAGTTTCTAATAGTATCCAAAAGTATCTATGTTGTAGAAGGTACACATCAGTATTGAAACTACGATTTCTTTCTTTGATATCGAAGCAAAGGAATGTTGCGACGTCGCACGCGTCGTTCGCGTTGCCGCACTTCGTTGCAAATATTGTTCGATTTGTGCTCATACCTCCTAAACAAATATCGGCGGCACAATCCAACAGAAATATTTGGAAAGTAGAAGCTTAGGCCTTTGACTTGACAGCCTTGGACTAAAAGAAGACCTCTTGTAAACGTCAATAAGATCCTTCAGAACAGCGTGCTGCACCATGTGCAGCGCCGGTCCGAAACGTGTTAAGAGTCTCCCACATGATAGGTATATTATTCTTGTCTGTACTGTGCCGCAACCGGGAGATGAGTATACCTTGGATTGTAGTGAGCTGAACTCTTATGAGCATGCAAGAATAAGATGTTGGGCCCCTCATAATTTCTGAGGCCTTGGATGGGCATTTTATAATACTTCACCTTCGGAAAGCTGCGCAATGCGTGCGAATCTTTACAATGACCTGCTGGGTCAACCGGCACAAAGTCAATGCTCCAATACTACCGATTACTCTGGTATCAAACCATAGTCTTCTGATTCGGACCCTCATTACACCGGGTCATAAAGGCACCTCACACACTATGCGCTCATCCCCGACATTTCGCATCTGAGAATACATCTAGTTTATGCAACAAAGTACGGTTATGTCATGTTTTTTATTGGAACCTGAGCATCTACTAGTAAAAGAAGTTCTCAAAAATGTAAGAACAAAAAATTATTCTGACGCACAAACCTGGAATTAGTATAACATCGTACGATCTCATGTGAGTACGTGGCGGCGCGTACTCAAATTCTTTGGTGATTATTCCGCAATGAAACTTTTTGTAGAATTGCATATAAAATCCCCGCGAATAAGCCTTTGAAAAATGTAAATCTGGTACAATTCGATTGGATCAGATCAATAACTATCCCATCCTCTTCTCTGTCCCATTGTTTCCAACGTCCCATTGTTTCCAATGTAGCATTCTTCCTTATCATTGCAATCATAAAATCAAGTCAGTTTATATGATCAAATGAGAAAGATTAAAAATTATCTACTTTAGATCGAGAGTAGGGACGCCACGCAATTTTGACAGAGTCGATGGCCGCTGAAATTTTTTGCATGAGCTATTAGCGGTATTATATGTGCTGACATTGAAAACGTGATGTGAAAGTATCTGAATGGGTTTTTTACGTTAACATTCAATGGGACATGATGCATATCCCTCTAAATGTTTAGTTTTATGTGCTTTGTATGTTTGGCTAAGCTAGCCATACTTTCAAGACCAAAGTAGAAGCGACAATCCAGAAGGGTTTCTCTTCTCAAGAGAAGCGATGTCTTTTTTCTTTGCCTTAGATAGACATGAATTACAAAAAAGTCTATTCAACATTTGGAATAAATTTCAATAACGGACTGCTATTCCAAATGTCGGCTATTCAAAACATGCCAGCCAACATTTCATTTATTGCTCATGATTCAAAGCTTCAACAAAAGCAATCTCATTTTGGCCTAAAAAGAACGGTCCTTCTCATCATGTGATCCTCGTTAGTGTTCAGAATATTTATTTAGAGCGAAACTTTCATCTGGAAGCTTCAAAATGTTTTTTAATTTCCGTCTATATAATGTCCTGAACAAACATAACAAACATAACGGTGTCCTCCTGATAGACGACATCAAACTGTGCGTTCAAGTTGAGCGCCAGGTCCTCGCTCTTCCTCACTGTCATCATTTCCTCTAATCCTAGTTGTCAGTATCCCTCATTTAATGACTTTTTGATATTGTTCAGGCTCAAATGCACTCTCAATTCTTCTGCGCGGTTCTAACACTAGCCATATCATCCCTTTCTAGTGCTCACATCTGGACTAATAATGGACCTATGAAAACTTATGGGACTTATAATGTACCGAACCTGGTAACGTCTTTTCAGCTTACAAAAATAACTCGTTAGTCAAACGACACAGAAAAATAATCGCTAAAGAAAAGTAATCAAAGTTTTGAATTGGTCGCAGGGACAATGTGTGATTGGTGGACCTTACGCGAGCGGTCCCATGTACAGCTGTCATGGAGCAACATTCGTACCCACGTCTGGCTTGTAAGCTCTTTTTGAAAAACATTAGTGAAATTCTTATAAGAAGTTAAGGTGACGTAGTTGATTTGTTGGATTCTTTATCTGATCACGTACTATTGCGAGACAACAAAAACTGAAACTTGCTTATAATCACTTCTGTCGAAAACGTGGTGCTACAAGGCTGTTGTAACAGCGCTTCTGAAGTTTTCAAAATAAGAGAAATCTGTTTCCAGCATTGTCAAAATCTTAGTCCTTCAAAAAGGTTTCCAAAAATATCATATACTTCAAAGCTTGTTTATTCTACTATGTTCGTTCAATCACAACGTTAGTACAATGACCGTAATGAATTTCATGAGGCAGGAAATAGTGGAGTTGTATGCATGCTTCGGAATCCCTCTGATGAACATCTTCCATTCTTTTTGTCAGCAAGTGCTTGAGAAATCGTGAAATTAAGACGTCTCTGCTGAATCCTCTTCCAACTTCCGTGTAAGGATCAGCTCGCGAATTAACGGCGGCTTCCCCTACCAAATTTCACTGCTCTTCTATCTTTGGTCATTTGAAGGTCAGAGCTACAGTTCGGCTATTTGCGGTAAGATTGAAGACAGAAGTAATGCTAGTTTACCATTTTTTCAAAAGACGATGGCTCCAGCGCTCCAGAGAATTTTTGCAAAGCTAATCTACTTGGTTGAGTGAATGCATGCACACTCGGATCAACGCCCAAGAACAAAAAGTTCTTCATAGTGACTATAAAATCAGGCAAATCGAAGAAAATTGTAGAGAATGTTTGATCAAAAGTTTATCACCATTAAATAACTTTGTATAGAAGATGCCGCCAATGCAGGCACGAACGCTTGTAGGGTTGTTCGGAGTTCTGAAATTTTTCAGCATGACCTGAAGCCAGGTCTAAACGAATCTAGTACGCGGAGACGGTCATGTTTCAGTTCAATCAGGCGAACTGGATGTTAATATAAGGAAACAATTGCTTCTTTTACTTCTTTTGCATCTGAGGCGAAGTTTACTTCGTTTGCCATGACAAAATATTAGCGATAGACATGCCATTGAAGTACTGCCTAGACTTTACTTATGCCAAGTTGTTGTTGTTGGACTTCTTCGATGATGAAGTAGTTTTTTTTTGTGGGAGAGGATATGCTTAAAAAGCGTGCTTTGTAGGTTGGTGATCAGAAGCATCTGTAGGTTCTTTGAGATTTTTTTTTTGGTCTTTTCTTCTTGTAGCTCATTATTACCAAGTTCTGTTTGCGCGGAGACCCAAGAATTGCAAAGACGTTAACAACCGTTTCTCTCCTCGTACATCCTTACGGGCATCAACTCCTACTCGCTTGAGAAGATAGATTCTAATAGTAATGAATTTATGCATCCAATTACTGAGAGACTTTTATTCAGCAACTAACTAACATACTCGCTTCGCTCGATTTCTATCTACTGCCACGGTGAAACTCACCTTTCTCCACATTCTTGTTCTTTTCCCATTTCTATGCCAGTTTCGGGCCCTCGTTGTATCTTCGCAATCAGCATGATCACTTGATTCCTGTATCAACTTCCAGCTAACTGAGTCAAAATTTGCTAAATCAATAAATGTAACGGATTCTTCGAAACTGGTGTTTCTATGTGTCAGCATGTTGCCGCCTACCAAATACCGGTGCCCCATCCAAAGTTCGCAGAAAAATGGCGCACCTCGAGTGCAAATAAATATAATAATGGTAAATATAGCGTGCGTATCCGCAGCTTACTATAGCTCACTCTGCGGCGCCGATGCAATTTCGTCTTGTGCTACCTGGAATATCTGCTTGAAAACCTTGAGGGATTTCCTGACCTGTTCTGTTGTATGTCCATTTACTGCTTCTAGAAAGTAGCGCTTCGTAAGCGTGGCAAGTGTAGATCCTTGAAATCGTTGAAATCTTCCACTTCAGAACGTGTGGATTAAAAAGTTGCACGCTGCAGATCAGAGCTAACGCCGATCTGATAAGCTCAAGATTCATTTCCTTTACTTACTAGCATTTTTTGATAAAAGCGGCAATTAGGCCCTGGAAAAGTTAGGCGTCACTTACTGTTGTCTACAACGTGTTACACTACTCATCGAGAGAAGTGAAAGGGGACGGGGGCTATGAAATCGATATAAAACTACATCTCTAAATCTTGTATTTCTACAGCTTCCAACCATGTGCTGAACATAGCCATTGTTACCACGCAAGAGAACCAACGGAATGGTGCCGCCCGCTACCACATCAGTCTTGGACGTGAGTAAATCATAGATCATGGTTTCACTCAATCAATTACACTGACTCTTGAGCAATAGATTTTATATTTGATTCATTGCTCAACCAAATTGTTCTTTGCTGCCTATAATTAGTTCGATGAAAAATTATGATGCTTTTCAAGCTAAACTAGAAAATGTTTGAGGGGCACTATTCATTAGAGCACAAGCTCTAGTAGGTGGCTTGGAAATTCGCATGACTGTGATTCCTATGATTCCGTAAGCTCTGGTTATGTATTCCACAAGCTGAAGCTAAAAGTAGTAAATTAATAAATCAAGTCTCATCTCTTACATACCTCCTACTTGCCGATATATGGTGGGAAAATATTCATGATATGGATCTGTTGTATTTTCCATGACTTGAAACGCTAGAAAAGGTGATGACCGAAAATTGGCAGACACAATCCCCAGTTCCTGTCAAATACGTGGATATATAAGACAACTCTTTTGAAATTAGTGAAATCTAATAGATCCTTTGCGTCCGAATTAGACAGTCATTTCAAGCGCCTGCGGCTCCTAACGGTGAAATTTAGCAGCGCGCGGACCTTAAATTTTTAAAATAACCATCCCCGGCCTCATATTGATGTAATTGGTGACGAGCGGCTCAATCCGGGCAAAATTTCGAACAAACTTTTTCCCGCTTACTTAGACTCATTCTTCCCCTGATTCCGAAAATGCAGCTTGCAGAGTACAAAAATGTGGAAAACGGGCTATTCCAAAAGGGTGCTGATTTTAAATATGCAGGACGCTTAATCCAGGGTAGTGGAACAAGGGCCGCCAGTTTAAGATACCTTTCGCGGTCAACTGGTCCTTTTGCAGTGTTGTTGCATGTTGTTCCAGGACCAGTAGCCCGCGGAGGCGGTCCGAACTGGCGGCTTTCGTTCCCCTACCCTTGTCGCAGATATGACGCAAAGTTGCGATGGGACCCTATGTCTTGACTGTGTGCGACATACGTACTCTGGCTATCGACTGAAGGGGCGGCCAGGTCGCAAGGGAGTTTCGGTTACCGTTCTGAAACGATTTTCTCGCCCCATAAGCAAAATGGTGCAATACCACTTGGGCAAGAGCTTTTTCAAGGCGGGAGCCCCTGTACGCTGAAATTACATATTTGCTCGGACGCTGTTTAATCATGAGGGGAAGGTTATTTCATAAACATCTACCGCCCAAGAAAATGCTCTTGGTCGAGCCACTAACCGATGGACCAGCACTGCATATTTGGTCTTCGGACATGCCTCGGGATTTGGTGCTCTGCGTGCATCGCAAGTCGGTGTTTTTGGCTACTGCACGCGCATTGAGCTTCCTAAAGTGTATTTCTTCTTTCAACTGCTTTTTTTCCATTAGATGTTACCTTGCAATTACCCGAGACGATTTTAAAAGGTACCAGTTGTTTGACTAGTTCTAGGCCTTCTGGCTTCCTGCGTGTGCATTGGGGTCATACAGAGGCTATCACAGAGTTCCTACATCGGACAGAGTAGGGAGGGTCGCCGTGATACCGATAGCGATAATAATATTCGTTAACAATGTCAATAAAGTCCATTATGCAAAATACAAGCACAATGGGGTATTATCCTATCATAGTGTATGCACAGTAAGTACAGTAAAGAAACCTTGAAAGCATGATGAGCATCATTTTCTTAATTAATATGTCAAATAACCCTTGTGACAAAGTGAAACGATCTCTGGAGTTTCCAAATATTGGGCACAAGTAGAAGACCATTGAACATGATTAACCTTGCCCTTAAAGGTGAATTAGCTACCTTTTTTGGCACTCAAAGCAATGCTCCTTTTTTGCCCATAATATCAATTCCACCTTCATCAAACAATGCTGTTAGGAGCCAGAAAGAATTTTGTTTGTCCTATTTTTCAATTTGATTGTTCCGCTTTTGGCCATTAAAGAGAACGAACTCAGGCTCAAATCACCTTTGTGAAAATTATGTGATTCAAATCATATGTTTTTGCCGACTCTTCTGCGACGACATAGTAGACATAGTATGCTATGTAATCGAACTTTTGTGTAGAAACTGAAAAACAACATGTTCTTTGAAGAACTTGAATGAAATTTTAGTTTGTAGGGAAGAAGGCTTAGCGGTTTTAACTTATAAAAAGCGTAGATGTTTGGATGCTATGCTTGGAAGGTAAGTTTGAGGGGTGAGGCAGCCGCACTTATTTGGGGTGTCACATCCCATTAACTTACCTGCAAAAAGAATTTACGCAAATAATATACGTACATTTGATAGCCAAGTCTCTTAGTTCAAGAATAACTCGGGTTTTACCCAAAAAGGCTTTCGCAGAGTGCAAATCGAACCTTCTTGCGACAGCGTAGAAATTAGGCCACAGCTTGTAAAACAGGTGGCGCGCTGCAGACATTTCATAATGACGAAGTTGCTGAACAATGCTGAAGTTTAGGATTTAAACTCAGATCATCAGAGTGTATAAAGTCACGTCGATCAGCATTACATCCTAAAACTACAAACATACACCTCTCCGAGAACATGTGCTAAAGTGTGTTGGGGATAAAGTATTAGGTTGTAACAGAATTAATGCAGGTTTTTCACGCCCCTTTTTCAAAGTGCTGGTTCAGAATAGAATTCTATCGTGCTAGAAAACTAAGCATATCATCTGAAAGCCCTCTTCTCCTAGTTTCTTGGACATGCTTAGATTTCGAGAGGAGTGGATTCATCTCGAAATTATGTGCCTTTGAAATCAAGAGGCTAAACTCTGAAATTTCCTCTTTTTGAAGTTTTTGCTTTAAATTCACCGCAAAAAACTGAAAATTTATGCAAACTGGCATAATGCTTATACGTGCCCTGCACTACAGAATGCACGTTAGAGCAGAATTTTCAAAAGTTTCTAGACTAAGAAATTTCATTTCATACCTAACCAACCGCTGCTATCATTCTGCGGCGTATAAAAATCCTAAAGATGGGACAGTTGCAGAGCTTTTGTCATGTGCAGAAACAGTAGACATAGGACATTTGATAGCAAAAAAACCGAAAGCTGTTGTTCTCCTTGGCGGCAAGAAAATCAAGAAAACAGCAAAGAACGACTTTTTCGCCTTTTCAGAGCACTTGCTAAGAATGACTAATCACAAATTTTTTGCGACATTTTCTGCCACAAATTTTCTCACAAAATTCAAGCTCAACGCTGCCGTACAACCAGATATCGTCTACACAATGAGTGAAGTTTGCATCATCCTACTTGATTGTGTAGTAAGTTATGGTCTCTCAAATTAAAGATTTTTCAAGAAAACTTTTGGCAGTTTTAGGGTTATAAAATTTTTCTCAGTGAAGCTACCACGACATAGTAGTGCGTACTAAATTGAGAAAGATTTGCTGATTGCAGCAGTTTTTATTGGAAACGGATTGGCTATTTCTATGAAAAGTTATAATAGTCCAAACTCAAAATTTGGAAAACCTGCATTAATTCTGTTACAACCTAATAGTTAGCTGCGTGATTCGTAGTGACCAGGTTCAATCCAACAGCTTTTCTTTATCGCGAGAATGAATTAGGCCTTAACGCTCCAGCCTTTCAAGACTACGGAGAAATGCTTGATTAAAACATGATAAGCTCATTCTCCTAAATGTAAGTGAAAATGTTAAAATATCAGAAGGGCCTAGCAAATTGGCTCAAAAAGCGGCCTAAGACAGTTTATAAAAGAGAAAAGGATTCCGCGTCTTCAATACCCTCTGCGGGCATGCGCCAAACGCACACTACTTTATAGAAGAGCAATGTATGCATGCGGCATTTACAATGACTTGCGGGGGCCAACCGGTTAACAAGTTAGTGCTTTTACCCTCCCAACCCGGTACCATTTGCCGTTTCCGGGGAGTAGAGGGCTTGGTTTGCCCGGGTGGGATAGGACCTGCGTCCGACCTGGTCATAGCGGCGCCTCATAGCACTATGCCACTCGTTCCCAAGGCAATCTAAGGGGGTCAAAAGCATTTGTATCAAAGTTTCGGCTTAACTAGTTCAAGCACAAAAGAATATGTAAAGAAGATGCGGTTACCGCACATTTACATTTTTTTCACTTATATTCAAATTGATTTTTGATATACTCTTCAAATGTTCGACTATCACATGGAAATATTGCTATACAATGGGAGAAATGAGTAGTCAACTTTTCGATCACTATCAAAAACAGAGTTTTAATTCCAGAGACGAGGGCTGTCATTGCGACGAAAAGTTGGGAAGCTGCGTGATCGAACGTTTCGACCATATGCTAGGTCAACTGCAATGGACACACTGCACACCGAAAGCCGAGTTTTACTGCTAAAACACAAAACTCCTCCAAATAAATTGTACTGCTCCCCAATGATTTGCTTTTTTAGATTCAAATTTTCGTATAAGTATGACTAACGAGTCAGCTGGTACATCATCATAAAAGCAGCTGAATTGGCAGTTAGTATGCAGACCATATCCAATCCCAGATTCGTGCTGGCAGGCAAAATTGGCCGCGCTAAATGCTTCGTAAAGTACAAAGCTTTTACCATCAAAGCAACATAAGCAATGCAGACACCTATTTACATTAGATCTTCCTAATTTTTCAAAATCGAGTACCTCAAATGACCATATAAAGGCTACTGCATGACGAAGGCGCAGAAGCGGTTTTAGTTGAGCGGGGTGAACGCGGTGCGCGCGACTTCACGTTGTAAATCCTGCGCCTCACGCGCTCTGCGGCTAATAAAGCAGCGTTCGAGCTCAAAGATATTGCGCCTTCGCCATGCAGCAGCCTATACTTTGTAGCAGATTTTTAACGGTTATATCACAATGTAAGCATAGACAGCAGAGAGAGTGTGTGTGTGGAAGAAGAAGATCATATCTTCAGTGATTCCAAAAAAGCTCATCAAAATTGCGGTAGTGTCCGTAGCATTTAGGCCCCCGCCAGAGTGCCGAAGCCAGCCAGCCCTACGCCGGCGCCGAGCCAGCGTTTCGATCGATACATGTGTATTTCGTTGGCGGGGCCCTAACTAAGAACTAGGGCTTCGGTAGTCTGGCGGGGGCCTTAGTACTATAGCTTTTATAACGCATTCGGTTGAACAGGTTTGTAGCGATATAATTCTTCATGAAAAATATTTCTTTGGAAAACAGTATAAAACAGAAAACTCAATTTTGTAACATTTTCAAACTGTAATATAGAAATTTAATATACTCAAGTTCCATCAAAAAGCAGGCAGCAAATTTTATGTTGATGAGTTGAGTTTACTGCAACATTTTCAATTTTTGATAACTTGTTCGAGATTTCCGCAAGGGGTAGAGGAATGTATGTCGCCGAAAGGAGGTTATCCCATGCGGACACCTGCAATAGACCACGCAGCCATTTAACTCAGAAATCGACGGGACACTTCCGGTGGGCTAAATGGAGAACGGCCGGAGTTTCCCCAGCAATGGCTGCCCCCTCGTTCACCGGATCCTTCCCATATTTGCGCTCCGGAAGTTCCCCGAAAGCTTATCGTGACTTGATGTACTAGTCCCTAATCAAGCTCTACACCCCAGTTATGCCACTAAGGCTTGATACATACCTGGCGTCGGATGTCTATACGTAGCGGCGGCAGCAACGCATTTGATGCATATCGATTGCAGCGAAATGATGCTGCTGCCTCACGCTGCAGCACCCAACGCGAAAAGTCACCTAGCGGCTCATTTTTGAGCAGCGCTGCACGTGCTGATCAGCGCTGATCACTAGATTTTGCAGCTGAGTTACGCTCACTTTTTCTTAGGTATCTCAGCTGTTTTGAGCTGCAAGCAGGTGCTTTTGTTTGCATCTACCTATTTTTACCGGTTTTCAAGCTACAATTAGCGCTTTAACACGTTGACGACGAGCCATTTTTTGAAGGTTTGTCCCTGTGGACGAACCGTTTCCAGGCATTTTCACAGCCGGCTGCACATATATATGCATGCATCTATGCGTGAGATACACAAATTCAAGTGGGCGGGGCAGCTCCGCCCACTTTTGGCAAGCCCCGCCCACTTCTCAAAAATGCTGGAAATTGCTCAAAATCAATGATTCGTGCAAATTCCGGCATTTTTTAAAAGTGGGCGGAGCTTGCCAAAAAGGGGGCGGGGCCAACATGAAATACTTTCGAGCCTAACTTGATTATATGAACACAAGTTGGAACCATTGTGCACATTAAAACTGATGTTTAGGGTGTCGCGCACCATTGCGCGACATCGTCCACAGGGACAGACTGCCTGTCGCGCACCATTGCGCGACACCGTCGTCAACGTGTTAAAAACAAAGTCTGTCTTTCTTGCATGAGCAAGTCATAAGTGCAACCTGAGACCATCAAATTAGGATTGGATTTCAGAGGCGGATATGGGGTACATACAAGGTTTACGAGGGAAAGGGATTGGGTGGGGCGAGGGGGGGGGGCTTGTGCGGGGACTTCCACCTAGGGAGGGGATCGCATCAAGCCTTTATGTGCCACACCCTTGGTCGACCCCAAGTATAATTCCACTAGTGTTCTAAAAGTTTTTGGTGGAATTAAGTGTGTGGAGTCCTCTTATGTTTGCTCGTATGAGGCTACTTTCTATTATAAATTAAACAATGAAAAACCATACATGAAGAACTCCTCATAAAAACACAATATAACTACAGAGCCAACTCAAAACATGCTAGTTCTCTCGTTTTCAACGTTATAAAACTTGGCGATAGGGCAGTTATTTGGGTGTTTTTGCACTCAACGAGCACTCATGAAGCAGCCGAGTGCAGCGCTGATCAGCCGAAGCAATGCTGCCTTCGCTGCTCGTTGGTTTTGTCCACACCTAACAAGGGTATGGTCAGAAGTCGAAGTGGCCAAACCAAACAATCTGTGTATTATTTGATGCAGTATGAAACGCTGACTTCGAATCTGTCTTCTTTGTCTGCTTATCACTTCTGTGGACGAAGCTACAACAGTTTTACTGCGGAAAAATCGTACATAAAAACTATGAAATTGAGCACTCCGTCGCAGTTTCAGCTGAGCTCCAGGCTTTGAGAATTTGAAGTAAGTTAGCTGCATGTTTGGCAGAGCATTAAGCCGAACGTGGCTCTGTACGGCCAAATTCCCACTTTCACGCATAAAATCTTAGTAAAATAATGGCCTTCAGTGGCTTATAGCTTCGTCAACAAAAGCGATAGGCGGATAAAGAAGACAGATTTAGAGTCAGCGCTTCATTGCTGCATCTAACGGTATGCAGCTTGTCTGGATTAGCCACTTCGATATTTGACCATTCCCCTGTGAGCAGTGAGGTATGTATCAAGCCTAAACCCCACCTAAATTAGCCTCCACATACTTAATTCCACTTAAAACTACCTTTCTGAACACTAGTGAAATTATACTCGGGTCGACCAAAGGGTGTGGCACATAAAGGTCTAATACGATCCCCTCCCTAGGTGAAGGAAAGCACGATCCCCTACCCCTCGCCCCACCCAATCCCCTTCCCTGGTAATCCTTGTATGTATATGTACATGCAACAAATTATTTATGGACAAATTCCAACATAGCGCATTGAGATCAATTGAATTTGAACGAAAAATAAATACAACTCCAGGGAGTGATTCTAACAGCTGAAGGTAATCAGTTGCATAAGAAGCGGTTGAATTCTTTCCAAGTTCATTATCATCTAGGAGTAGAAATAAATCTTGACATAACCAGAAACATTAGTATTAAGTTGTCCGGAAATTAATGCCCGTTTTGAATTTCAACCGCTTTAAGTCATACACTTCTCACTTCTACATAGGTTGCAAAGTACCATTCGATAGAGCAAAGCAAGCTCTACAAGAAGGTTTTCTTGCTTTTGCAACAGCTCGCACCCATCTCGAGTTTCGAGCCAAAAACTAAAAAGACTCAGCAGCCCGAAAAATCGAAAAAAAATCGTAACTCACTTCATAAAAATCCTACAAAAATTCTTACTTGCTCACGTAAACACTATCCACATAAAACATCTATATACTCCTTTGCCGCATTTTTTTCTCTGTTGGAAACCAAGAAAACGGAAATTTTCGTGCATTTGCCAAAGTGATGCTGAGCCATCCCCACATAGGTAGTTGTACACCACAAGCCTGTAGAGGTACAGACTTGAATTTTCAGCTCTCTACAAGCTTTAGTTCTCGAGAAATTTGAATTTTAGCTTGGACCACCTAACTAGGGAGAGCTATATTCGGTATTTCTTGAGAACAAAAGCTTGTAGAGAGCTAAAAATTTAAGTCTGTACTTCTACAGGCTTGTGGTGTACAACTACCTATGTGGGGATGGCTCAGCATCACTTTGGCAAATGCACGAAAATTTCCGTTTTCTTGGTTTCTAACAGAGAAAAAAATGCGGCAAAGGCGTATATATATGTTTTATGTGGATAGCGTTCACGTGAACAAGTAAGAATTTTTGTAGGATTTTTATGAACTGAGTTACGATTTTTTTCAATTTTTCGGGCTGCTGAGTCTTTTTAGTTTTTGGCTCGAAACTCGAGGTGGGCGAGAGCTGTTGCAAAAGCAAGAAGGTCGTCTTGTGGAGCTTGCTTTGCTCTATCGAATGGTACTTTGCAACCTATTTAGAAGTGAGAAGAGTATGACGTATTGCGGTTGAAATTCAAAACGGGCGTTAATTTCCGGACAACCTAATAATTACCTTGTATTAGGTTGAACCGAAAGTTCTGTCGCACCATTTTCAAAAAATCATAGCTTCTTTCGGTCACGACGGTTTTGCGCAGTTCGAATTTTGTCCGAAAGCGTAAAGCATGTAGTTTCTAAAAGCTCCCTGGGGAGTTTCTGACATGCTCAGGTGGCAGAGATAAAAATGAAAGAAGGAGATCATCCGAAATTCGGAATTTTTAAGCAAGAATTCTAGAAATCCGGAAACAGTGCGGTAAAATCCAGAAAAGCCATTATCCTAATTTTTCTTACGTTTGATCACTATCTGAGTCGAGTTTGTGCTGATCGAGCCCTTCTTTCAAAAGTTATGAATTTTTGAAAAATAATACCGGAAAATCAATTTCCTAAGAATTCTTAAGAAATGGATTTTTTGGCATTTTTTTCAAAAATTCATAACTTCTGAAAGAAGAGCTCGATCAGCACAAACTTGACTCAATTGATAATCAAATCTAAGAAAGCTTAGGATGACAGCTGTTCTGGATTTTTTCGCACAGTTTCTGAATTTATAAAATTTTTGCTTAAAAATTCCGAATTTCGGATGATCTCGTTTTTTCATTTTTATCTCTGCATCTTGAGCATGTTGGAAAGTCATCAGGGGACTTTTGGAAACTACATGCTTTACGCTTTCAGGCGGAATTTGACTTGCACAAAATCGTCGTGAGGGAAAGAAGTTATGATTTTTTGAAA